TAGAATGGTAAATAGTGGTCACGAAATTTGAGGTCGTTCACCTGCTGTCGTAACTGTCTCTGAGACGAACCGGCTTCATATTAAGGAGCGTGTTATAAGGAGAATTACTGGATAGATATGTTCCTTGATCGTCAGTACCCTTTTCGTCTGTGTGTCATATTTTCTATATCTAAATTAAAGAAAAAAAAAAACAAACGATTTGAACAGCTTTTTTCTGTGCCATTGATTTTATGATATTAACCGTTATGAGATGGATCGGTCTATTCTAATAAGGCATCCGAATGGATGCAAGAATCAATAATAAAATCGTCGAGCGAGGTCCAAGAAGGTCGAAGAAACCGTTTGTCTCGTAGGAACAGTTAATCGACGAAGCTTCGTCATTACATTCAATTACGAGTGACTCGCGTGTGAGGAATTATGAGAACCGCAAGAACGAGACGATAACTCGGATAACTTGGATGAGCGGAAAAAAACGCGAGAAAGGCGAAGAAAGATAATCGAATCGCTCGGAATCGTCAATTTGTTTTCCTGCTCGAATGGATGCGGTACGACGCGTTCGGCGCAAATTGTGCCTGAAATCGATTTTCAGCGATCCTTTAGAAGTTTGACCATTCCCGGTCACGCCCCACGGATCGAGTGACCACTCGGTCAAAATCTATCTCAGCTTCCCGCTGTCTCTCTTCGTTTTCTTCCCGACATTTTGTCCGTGCCCCCCGCCCCTTTAGCCATTCCCCTTTCCAACGGGATATTAACCATGCTTTTCTTCTAGCTTGCTGGCGATTGTTATTAAAGCGATACCTTTCGGTGATTACTTTTAACTGAATATCATTTGAGTATAATAACGATAGAACGATCGAATAATACTGACAACAATAATCCCATAACAGCAAACATAAAAAGTTTTTGAGACAATCGTTGGTAATTAGACGATTGAAAGCTTCATTACGAAACATCTGTAAATGAGTTGAGTGAAAGGGTCGCGATGAATGGTCGTCTGTTATATGGAATTTCATCAATCTCGGAGCATTGAATTGTCTTTTTCACACACACTACTCACATATAAACTATTCTTTTATTCTCTTATTTTTAATTACACGCAGTATATATCTCAAGGACGAAAATCTTGTTCAAAGGATTTTACTGTCCAGTAGATATATATCCCAAGAGATCGAGACTCTCTCTCTCTCTCTCTCTCTCTCTTTTCTTCTCTCTTTCTATCTCTTTCGTAGAAGCCTAAACGCCGAACACTGGTCCGACCGTTCAGGTAATTAATGATCGCTAATTACCGGACATCTGGTGCTGGAAGGGATCCTTATTTACGACAGAAAGGTGGACGTCCACCTAGAAAAAGAAACGAAAAAGGAAATCATACGAAATCGCTAACGAGCTCTATTGTGAGGCACGTGCCGCTGTCCGCCTACGTATATCTTGAAATGCGACGGATCTTTTCCTCTTCTCCTGATCTGGCCAATCCTTCTGGAAGGATAACGGAAGGATAGGACCCGATCGCGAAGTCTCTCCCATTTGTTTGTCACCTCGCTTTTCACACTGGAGCGAAGTATTATAATTCGTGGAGTGAATAAACAGGTGTATTTGATCTTCTCTCTCTCTCTATTGTGTTGAATTCAAAAGATGTGTGAAACAGAATTATAATGCTGTATTGTTATGACCCTATGTTGTCGGAAGTTTGATTGTTGAACTGAAATCGATATCGAACAACGAAGGAATTGAGAACGACAGAAAATTGATATGGCACAAGACAGTGGAAAGTGGAAAGAACCAAATAACATCTCGAATATGCAACTAGGGCTCTATAAGAGCACATTCTGCAGATTGAAAACTAGCGATTTAGCGAAAAACAAAAGGCGATTTTCCCTGATCCTCTACACCAGGTCCTCCATTAATGTGTTTAGAAGTCCATGAACACTATTTTAAATATTTGGTAAAAAATTATTCAATAATATGGAGAATCTATTTGTTTCCCTACATAATTTAATAAAAAACATAAAGTTGTTAATATCTTACAAAATATTACCTTCTCTATTGTTACGTCCTGTAGGAGGAACGTAATTGGCACTTGCTTTCACAAGCTCCGACGTACTAGCAAGTCTGCGGTGCAGACAAAGAATCGGAATGACCCCTTTATCTGGTGCGGACGTACGTTGGTGGTCCGTTTATTCACCCATTAACGCCCAAAAGTCCTAAAATATTAGCCTTACTTTGCAACTGTATTTTATGTAGAGAAACATATTATATAAGGTTGGAATAGCATTTCCTTATGTTTTCGGGATCGTTCTACAAGATTCCGGTATCAGAATTCGTTTAGATCCACAATAAAATTCAATATGGCGGAATTTTTGGAAAAAAGTTGTGAAAAATCGACAATTTTATTTTTTATAAGTTTGATTTCGTATCAAAAACGTTACTTTGATACAGATACAAGTGTCACATCTTATCTCAAAAACGTTGAACTTTCAAGGTACGCATTGGTGAAAATGTGAATTCAAAATGGCTGCCTCAAAATGGCGGTTTGAGCGAAAAAAACTTAAAAAATAATGTATTTTTAGAATAACTTCGCAAAATCCTAGTATTTAGCATCAATTTAGTATCCAGGGTACTGATTTTAGGATATTTGCTAACAACTAATTTATATTAGAGAATTTCAAAATGGCGGATCCAAGATGGCGACTAAAAGGCACGAATAATCGTGAAAATTTCCAGATTTTCATGAATTTTCTTCTATTATTGTCATATTCATGAATTATTTTCGAGACGTATACACGCACATATACATGGTGGGTAATTATAAACTTACAAACTTTATAAAAAACATAAAAAACATCGAAATAAGTACAATGGACGGGAAAAAATAGAAATCGACTACGTAAAATTTCGAGACAAATTGCTAAATAAATGAGCGAACAAACGCTCAGTGGGCATGCGTTGTGGGCAGCACACGTGTATGCCCGCAACGTTACATTAATCCGTCGACCCATCCGGTTTTTTCGGAAATGGAAGAAAGAACGAGCAGACAAAGAACAAATGCAATGCGAATAATTAGCGAAATTACGGAGTAGCGTTTATGCAAGCTGAGGAATTCTCACGGCGTCGAGGCATACCCGAATACTCGCGTTAACGTAAATAGGAGGAAGCGACTATTATCGAGGAGGATGTATGACGACAAAACTGAAAATAATGAAGGCGCCATCGAAGAGAGTGCACGTGAATCGCTCATATCCGGAATGGCACCCGGTGAACGGTTCTCGAGGTGAACCGAAACGGGGGAAACGGAAAGGTGAACAAGTGCGTGTGCCGGTCACGCGCCCGCGTGCAGACCGGAAAATCGACGTTTATGCACGAAATGACCGGAAGAGTGCGGTACGACGATCAAACGTCGCTATATTCTTCATACTTCCCATCGCGTACGGTGAACGTAACTTCAAACAATATACGAAATAAAGCAAGATTCTTCGTTGGACATTCCTTCTCTTACATTTTCAATATGGAATGTCAAAAAGTGGCGGTTTTATTCGCGATTGTGATCGCTGAAACATATACCTCTGATCAGCATGTTTCTAAGATCGCGACTTTGTCTCTCTCTCTCTCTCTCTCTCTCTGAAGGGCCGTCGTCAAACTCTGTAACACATTTTTATTTGTTTCTCTTGTGCCTGCGCGTGCAAATGCACAGTTCTTTATTTATAATAGTACAAAATTATATCACTATACTGTACAGTTGGTCGCGTTACACTTATCCGCTTTAAACTTGTACGCTTATTATGCGCAGTAATTTGTCTTATAAAGTTTTCAAAAATCTCCCCCCAATCCCTCTAACTATCCTATACTTCTTATTTTATTATAGAAAGTCTTTGGACACAATTTCTTCGTTACTATTCGTTACAACGCTATTCCTATTTCGAATCTTTGGCGTTGATTGTTTAAAAATAGAGCGCATTGTTTTATATTAAGATAGATAATTTAGATAGTGCAACATTCAACGTATAGATAAAATAGACAAATATCTTGACTAGATACGATAGTAATTAGAGATTTATAATAAACAATTCATACGTCTCATGTCGCTACTCGTTAAAATAATATCATTAATCTTAAACTCGGAACTTGTCGTTGGTCTTAAAACTTAAAACAGTAAAAAACTTCCATGGTAAGTACAATAACATATAATCATACAATAATTATAATCATCGATTTTATTTTATATCTTCGGTAGAGAAATCATCGAAGAATTTCGTTTTACTTATTTATATCTATTTATATGTTTTACTAAAATTACAAAGAGGATTGATATGGTATAATATACATATATATATACATATATATATATACATACATATATATATATTATAAATTTATAATAATTAAATAATAATATTTGTACACAGACAAACCTAACATATCTGTAAAGTTACAGATAGGCTTTCTTTATATCTATTATCGCGCTTAATCTTTGGAATATTAGCTGTTTTTTACCTTAAACCTTAGCCTTAAACTAAAATATATACCACAAAATACAGACGTATCTGTTCTTCGTTACATCGGTGACTCATATGTAAATATCTAGTTAACGAAGTCTAACACACTTCAAAAGCGAAGTTCAAAAGTATATTTTCGACATCTTAATTTCATGCAGCCATATATATTAGAAACATTTCAAATCAGATTATAAAAATACATATTTCAAAAATCACACGTATTATACTAGTATATATTAAGTACACAATGAAATCAGTTCCGATTAAAATGCTCTTCACGTAGTAACGATAAAAGTAATAACTTACAAAAATATTCAGCTCCAATAAGAATATGCAATTAAGCTTTATCGGTCACATAAATAAAATATTATGTATTAATCTTTCGAAATCAGTTTATAATAGCGTACATTTTTTATGCTAGCTGTGCGAGATTCAGTCTTCCTGCATTTTTCCAAAAATAGCCATACATAGCTCGCTTTTCTCTTCCAATATTTATTAAAACATAATTTGTACATGTTTTCTACTTTTTTTTTTTAGTGCTGTTTATAGACTACATGACTTGATTCGGTTTTGCTTAAAATTAGGAACATTACAAAGAGATTCAATCAATTCTCTGAAGGAAAAATATATCCAGAAGAAACACAGGAAAATTCATCCAAGATCAAATAGAAAACATTATTAAACATCATTAAATTAGCAGATAAAACGTATAGTATTTGCGTCTAATTTCATCTCTTTCCATCATGCCTTTGGAGAAGATCGCACAATGCTGCTATATAGCTCTGTGCCATCTGTAGGGTCTCGAACTTACTGAGTTTGTGATCGGTCCCGAGATTCGGCACAACTTCGCGCAATTTGTCGAAGGCGTCGTTCAGACCGTTCATACGACGTCTCTCGCGTGCATTTGCAGCAAGGCGTCGACGTTTCAAAACCGTCGGCGACGGCGGAACGTCGCGGGACCTTCGTCTGCCTTTTCGCGGACTCACCGGCGGTGTCGTCGACATTTTCTGCAAATTCATTAATTCATTAATTGAGCTACCTGCGATGCACGATTAATTGGTCGATTTTTAGTTTTGAAAATTTTCTGGCAATTATTGATTATCATTTCTTTGCATTTCAAATAATTAATAATAAAAATAAATATAGAAAAATGTTTCATATTAAATTAAGATGGGAAGATTTTAGAGCGTATATTTTAGTAGAATGTGCAAGCAATTGTTAGGCGAATCAGACTAAAAATTTTTATTTAAACGTCGGCTGTTTAAAGAACACATATAACGAAAAATAATTTAAAGACAATTAGACAAATAATCAAAGCTGTACTTGAGTCGAGATGACAGGCTCCCAACAACTGGCGCGTGGTTCAACGATCGTGATAGTCGGTTTGCTATTCTCTAGGGGTTGGTATCTCGGTTCCTGAGGAGGAGTTTCGTAGCAATAAGACGGTGGCTGATAGTCTATAGAATTCTCCTCGTATAATGTCGATCGCGGTGACATCGTCTGTTCCATCGAATGTGGCGGTTCGTATCTATAAATAATGCCAACGACAAAACTTAAGATGAACCGATAAGACGGCAGTAATTTTGCCGATTTAATTCAAGCGAGATTTTCGACCAGAATCGAAACAATTTCTAACTAACGATTAGCGATTGATCTGATCAATCAACAACCATATATTGACAGTAATATTAATCTGATACACAACGATTACTACTTTCGATTGACGGTAGCGCTTGAAAACGATCACGACAATCGCTTACACTTGACGCACTCGTGACAAAATAAACCGAAAATAAATCGACTGCGTCTGTTTACCTTTGTGGTGTGACAGGTGTCAAGACGCCATAAGATTCTCTTTCGTATACCTCTGAAGTTTTCGTATATTCGGACATCACGTCTTTAGTGTAATCGAGTGTCTCAAGCTCTCTTCGTGGCGTGAGCTCACTCTCGTGCGCGCAATTATCTCGGTATGTGATCCTGCCGGAGTCGTAGTTCGGGGAGTTGTACGGTGACGGATACAAGGGGTCGTAATTCCTCGCCACATTCGGATACGCAGGTGTCAACATCTCGGACTGCGTGTTCTGATAGCTACAGTGATGGTTCGACAGTAGAGCCATGATCGCGCAAACGAGGGTGGTTATTTGGGCTCGTTACTCATTGGCTGAACACTTCGGGAAATCTCTGTTTCATCGGACTGAATGCGCAAGGTAATCCTGTTTCACAAAGTCGGTCTCGCGAGATGAGTTTTACACAAGGCTTCTGCAGGGAGAATCGTTTTTCTTCCAGTATAAACGAACTCTACGGAATCTCTACTTTCTTCAAGTTACCCCGTTGTTACGTTACGTCGAGGCAAGGGATGGACCGCAGCGCGTCAACACTAGTCGCATTCCTTTGAGTTCATTAACGCGATCGGTTAATGGCTTTTGCGTGATGCACACTACAACAAATGATTTCGAGGCAGCCACCTCGAGTTTTTGATAACTCTCATTGGTCGCGATATGACCGTTGTCCTCCGTTCGTTAATCGGACTGCGAACTGTTGCGCGCCTCAACATTGAACAACACGTATCCAGATTAACGTCAAGAAGGGAATCCCTTGAAGAACATCACCTACTCGCGTATTCGCTAATTTCGTTTTCTCACTCTCAGTCCCCGTTCACTACGTTCGATATATCGCGTCTTTACCGTAATCAGAAACAATATGTGAAAAACACGGAGACTGCACTGTCGAGTACTCGGGTCAACAGGATACCAGAGTGGACAGCGCAGTCACCGATCCTCACGGTGTAAAGGCTCGAGTCTGAGTGCGGCGCGTGCCAGAACGTCCGTCAGCAGATCAACATATGGTTCCCACCTTGTTTTCTACCGATCCCTATGGGTGATACGTACACCTGGCAGCTCATTCTGGTTCCTCCTGTATCTACCCCTCTCCTCTTCAGGTTCTTGGTCGTCCGCTCCGCAGGCACGCCCGCACCGCGAGCGCGTCCTTCCTCCGTGACCTGCCGAAAAGCGGTCGACGATCTGAAAAGAAACGACCGCGAATATTCTCTGCCAGGAAACTGAGGTCTCCTATCGTTATTGATAGGATATTGATAATTATCGCAATACGCGGCGGCCACACATATCTCGACGTACACTGAGAGAAAGGAATGGTTAATCTCATTGAAATTTTAGCTTTATAAATAAATAATTAGTAAATATATATGTATACACACTATATATTTTTTATAACACAACTATATGGGGTTTGCTTGTGTATACACACATACAAGCAAACCCTATATAGTTGTATTAAAAAAAGTTATTCAAAATTTTACCCTCTATAATATATTTTAAAATAAAAAATTGGTGAGATGTTATCTTTTATATTTACTAAATAAATAAATAGCGATAGCAATAGTATTAATAATAAATAAATAAATAGTAGTATGTCCATATAAGGTTATGATCACCAATATTATAATTGCGTTGGGTAAAAAAATGGTTTTCCATGGAATATAATTATTTTATTATGCAATTATAACCATAGATACCAAATACTCTTCTCCCAATGTGTGAGTGTCACAAAAGATTATAGGAATAAAACATAAAATAATTGTATCAGTGTTATGTATCCATCATGATAGATACGTATCATTGACACATGATCATTGAATTTGGAATGTTTGAAAGATCTATCTCGAGTTTGTTAAAAACAGATGACGAGTCCGTAACAATACTCTAGCGACATTGTCAAATTTTACAGTGTTGTCCGACGAACGTCGTTGTTCGGACGTCATTCAGGCGTGGCGCGACGTGCAGAAATTAATTTTCAATTTCCGATTTCCCGCCTTTCTTTCTTCTCCGCTGTCAGCGTTCGCGTCACGAAGGCCGGCGGAACAACAGATGCTTTCACAATAGAAGCCATGCCACGTGTAATAACTATATGTGCTATATTATATCGCCGCTGTGTAGGTAACGTGAAAAGGACAACAAAAATGTACTTGCGGGGGTAAGCAGAAGGGGGAAGCAGCAACTACGGTTGTCGTATAAAAGCGGTTTGTCGTTGGGTCTAATTTGCAAAAAAAAAAAGGAAAGCGTTCCAATTTAAACGAGTTCAAAATTTACTTTTGCGTGACGGGAAAATGGAAATATTTCTTTTGCTAAATTATTTTGCATGAATTAACGGTCATTAATGGAGCTGACAGCATAAAAAAATAATACTGTAAAGTATTAAGATAGATTATCTAAGAAAAAAATAAAAAATATCAAACTTCTTGACATTAAATATCTAAACTTACTTAACATTAAAATGTACCTGAGCAAAAAGAAAGGTTACCTGAGGGTTCTATTTTATTTCAGAATGTATGTTTCATTTATGGGAATATTTAAATTTTTAGCAAAATACGCGCGTATATAATTTGTATCGTACGAACATCGATAGCACGTCATTGAAATGTTAGATATACATTCCCGCGTGTAGTTGTAATTAGTTAACTACGCATTAGCATGTAAATTATTTTTAATTATCTCTTTCGTCAGCTCATCATACCGTATAGCATGCGTTATATCATACGTTCAACTGTTTGCATACCGTGCACGTATGGTACGTTCACAAAGTTCCTCGAGATATCGATCGAGTCGATCCGCAATCGAACGCTAACGTCCTGTGAAGGAATCGTGCGGGATGACGTTGACCGATATGGTCAGAGAGTGCAGATAGAGTAGAGAAGCAGCAGGATACAACGGTCGCATGCTGCTACCACCGTGGGCTATTCGCCTTGAGACAATTAGCGATATCCATCTCTCACCGGGATCCACCCCTCGAACGGAACGGAAGGGAACGGAAGGGACCCAGACTCGGCGCGTGGCGTACGTCTACGAGCGTATAACGAAAGGAGCCGCAAGGTGTTGTTGCCCTACCGGCCAAGGGCGGGAGATTTCAGGATAAAGATGCGCCGGAAGGAAACCCTCGAAGGGGCATCCAAACCGAAACTCCTGTATTCAGTATTGCACCGTATGAGATTAGGACGCGTCAATGCTGATGAAATTAAGATTCGAGCTGTGACATAATGGGACTTCGAGACTTCAAAATAATTTTAAATATTGTTGTTACAAGCATGCTGAAGTATTTTATATTATTTTTTTATATTTTATATTCATTTATATTTTATATTTTATATTCATATATAAATATATATTATCTTTTATATACATATATATATATCATATATAAATCCCACATAGCACATAATATTACAGCAGTATCACAATAATATTCTTCTCTATTGTAATATTACAACATAATATTGTAGAAATATTACTACATTATTACAGTGATTTCACAGTAATATTATGGTGATATACTATAGTAATACGAGTATTGTGATAGTATATCATAGTAATATTGTCATAGTGATATATCCCAATAATATTATTGTAATACTGTAAAGTTATAGAATATTCTTACGGAAAAAACACTCAAATTTGAGTATATATTCCCAGATAACACACGGACGTCCAACGGACGTCCGGTGGACGTTTGAATTTGGACTTCGGGATGTCCATAAGACGTCCAAAAAAAATCCGACGGACGTTCATAGGACATCCATAGGACGTCCGTTTTTCACAATTCTGGACGTCCATAGAATATCCAAACCAAGGATCTAAAATGGACATCATTCTCAATTCTCCACTATTCGTAATTATTAGCGAAATAAACATTCAAAAATACGTAAAGGAAAGATTTATCAATAACAATAAAATTCTGAAATACAAAAAATATTATTTATTTTTATATCAATATATAAAATTTAATTATAAAATTTTATTTCTCTAATGCGTTTATCGATCTTTGGAAATTTCAAAATTATTAGGTTAACAAAAGTTAGGGCACTATTATATTAATATATTCTTGATAGTAAATAAAGTAAAAAAGTTTAATACTATTTTTTCTTTCGACGAATAGTTAGCGAGATATCGTAAGTTAAATGTTGAAAAAGTTACCAAGTTTTCCTTAAATATTTCAAAAAATATTAAGCAAATAAAAAATGTTTCAGTTGTTAAAATAAGTTGTTAAAATTGATTGGTAGAGAAAGAAGATATAATAAAAAATTGGGCTTTCTATTTTAAAAAATTTTAAAAAATTAAGTTGACCTTCAACTGACCTTGAAAATGCCTTCCAAATAAAAAACTGATAATGCCATTCTCTTTCCTCTTCGAAATCATGGAAGATGTATTTTAGCTTTTTTAATATCTTTCATAATTTTCGAGATTTTTTACTTATTACGTTTGAAATTTAGCACCTTGTATATATATACGAACGAAATCTAAACAAGTCTTAAAGCACACTTAGTGCGCATTAGTGCAAGCAATCAAATTCACTATAAAAATGTTTGGATAATGACCATTGACATCCAACATTGGACATCCTATGGATGTCCTAATATGGACGTTTTGATGAGTCCAAAATCGGATATACAATGGACGTCCATTTCACATTCATGGACGTGCGGACGTAAAATGGACATCAAATGGACTTCCATAGGACATCTTGTGCTGTCTGGGTTTGAGAGTAAATTCGAATAATTGAGTGTAAACACTCAATATTCGAATGTTTCTTTCATGAAAGTTAATGTTATATTAGTTAATCTAATATTAGATTTGAAATCGTTATCGTTGAATGATGTTTGTTAATCATTTATACTTCCTGAAGATGTAAGCAATTCAGTTTCCTATGATGTATTCACATCTTTTAGTTCGAACTTTTCTGCCTTTATTCTAAAATTTTACATCTAAAATTTTACAACTGTTATATCTCGAAAACTGAACATTTTAGAAAAAAATATTTTAGACAAAAGTATAGTTTCAAGGGATACATAGGATAATATTATTTTGTTTACAGATGATACCACTTTCGGTATTCACTGATTATTACTTTTCTTAAATGGGAATCCCATTTTTTTATTACCTTTTTCTATCAATTAATTTGAACAACTTTTATCTGAAACAGTTTTTTATTTGCCTAATATTTTTTTAAATATTTAAGGAAAACTTGGTAACTTTTTCAATATTTAATTTACGATATCTCTAATTATTTGTTGAAAGAGAAAATAGTATTAGATGTTTTTACTCTATTTACTCTTTTTTGTCTGAAACTTAATTTTTCTTAATATTTTTCATATTTTTCGAAATTTTTACCTGACTCATTTAAAATGGGATGCCCTATATTATCCCCAAAATATTTTATTTATACTCCAATGCGATGTATAACGTTTAAGTTAAAGTAGCAAGTGACATTAAATGACGTTTCAATGACGTTTCTAATGTCCATAAGACGTAACAAAAACGTCATTTGACATCATCTTGCTACTTGAGATGGAATATATATTGCAATACAATATTACAATAATCTCTTAATGTTACATATAACCATAATATATTATTCACTATTGTAATATTTCAACATTATATATGAACGTAATATATTAGTAATATTTCTGTAATATTGTATTATAATATGTAATGTTAATGATATATTGCAATCTAACTATGATATAACATTACGTGCTATGTGGGATATATTTTATATTTATATATTTTACACCCTTTTTCTTTTTCTTTGTGTTTCTTTTTCTATTATTTGACTAATAATACAACGATTTTAAATACTCATAATTGCAAGAAAAAAGAACAAGATGGAAGTTATAGAAGTTTCACAACAGATTAAATTTGAAAAAAATGACATCAGAATGAAATATTGGGACTCGCGGAAAAATTTGGCATTCCCTGCTGAAAGCTGAGTACCGTTATCCGTTGATTCTGGTACATTACAAATGAAATGGAAAGAGAAAGGTGTTGGAACAAAGGTTCAATTTTACTCGTGCAGCGATAGCTTGACGCCGATAAAGGTTTTTTAATAAGCTTCTACTACAAGAAGAATCGTGATGTGCGATTTTAAGGAAAGCGTAAGGTGTTGGTGACCGAAGGCAGGAGATTTCACGATAAGTCGAGGGGAAGACAACGTAGTGCACTCGAGAGGAAAGACACCTTGTGGCTGAATAAGCAAAATGGATTAGTCGGTACTACCAAGAGGACATTTAAATGCATTTAATATCCTACGTAAATAACATAATTTAGACGCTTTTATATAAATTTTCCGAATTATTCATAAATCGATATATTAGGTTGAATTAGTTCTAGTCCCTAGCAATAGATAGCTTTAGTAACAAATTAATGATTAGTATGAATGTTGAAATCTGACAACACTGAAAGATTTGACATTTCTCTATGACATATGACAATTTGCGTACTATTATTATTAATAATTTCATTGTTTATAAGCTCCATAAATAGATCGTACAAAATTGCATTTTCGATATTACTTCTTCTGTTTAATTTAAAAAAATCGGCAACTAAAGTTCATGAAATGCTTATTACAACTTATGGTGATAAGATTTCCATCGTATTACAACTGTAAATTTTGGTTTCGACGATTCAAAAGTCGTGATTTCGATTGGAGGGACAAAGGACTGGTGAAGACATACTGGTCAATCAAAAAAATTCGAAGATTCTGAATTGCAATTATTAAATGCAAACACTGCTCAAACGAAAAAAAAAACATTTGTCTGAACAACTCAACGTTGTTCAATCAACAATTTCTAAACGCCTACACGCCATAGGAAAAATTCCAAAGAAAGGCAAATGGATTCCACATGAATTGAGTGGAAGTATCATTGTAAATCGTTTGAATATCGCCATGTTTTTGCTTGTTAGACAAATAAGTTTTTTGTAGCGAATTATGACTGGAGGTGAAAAGTGCATTTATTTGGATAATCCAAAGCGAAAAAAATTATGGGTTGATCCAGGACAACCATCAACATCGACACTAAAACAGAACATTCACGGTCACAAAGCAATGCTCTGTATTTGCTGGGACGTGGAAGGTGTAATGTACTATAAGCTTCTAAAACCGAATAAAATAGTTACGTGGGAGTGGTACTAGCAACAATAGAACAAATTGAATAATGAACTGATGTAAAAAAGGCCAGCGATAGTCAGCAATAGACGCAAAATTCTTTTGCGCGATAATACTCGTCCACATGTTGCTTCAGTCGTTAAATAAACATTGTTAGAGCTCGAATGGGAAATTCTTCTACACCCAACGTACTCTCCAGACCTAGCACCAACTGATTACCATCTATTCCGATCCATGCAACACGCTTTAGCAGATACATACTTTAAAAGGATATGCAAAAAGAAGTGTCTGATTAGATTGTTTCGAAAGACAGATTGTTCTATCGTCACGAAATCGCTATGTTGCCAGAAAAATGGGAAAAAGTCAGCTAACGACGGAAAATATTTTGATTGATGTAAATTTAATCATTTCTTTAAAACAAAGATAAAAATGTTAACAAAGTAAGACCAAAATTAATTCAACCTCCTAATATTACCTATGAATAAATAGCAACTATCTGTTAAAATATATCTCGGTGTTCATGTATAAAGGAAATACTTTTTCGGTTCTAAATTCGGGGCAAATTTAGCCGTAGCTGCGATTGAATGCATTGTCATATTATAATCATTAACTTTTCATCAGCCTGTATTTAATTTTATATCCAATTAGGAACGATCAGAGGGGCAGAACGCGTGACGAGCATGTGATAGATCGATATTGCTGTTTTCAGTTTCGACACTTCGCTTATGTCGAAAACGAATCGTTCCCGAGAGCCATATGGCATCGTGAACGCGTGGCGGAATGCCGAACACAGCCTAGTAAATTTTCACGGAATAGTTCGTGTACGCTTTATCTTCGAGCGTTTTTATTCGTCTCAAAGACGTTACTGCTCGTGGATGGTGCCGTAACGAAGTAGGTATTATTCATTCGTTATTTCGTTGAAACGAGTCGCTTCAACTTGAGGCTCCTAACTACATGAAACCTGCAATTCCACGTTGTACCAACTGTTGCATATTGAAGAAGCATACTGAACATGTGTAACCGTATAACGGACTGATGCATGGATTGAATTGAATCATAAATAACTTCCGTTTCTCTTTTTAATTTTTCTTCCTATATTTCGTCTGCCAATCTAATATATATTCGTTATTAGATAAGAAAATAAATAAATGATTAATGACTCGTTTTCCCAACTAATAACTTATCCCGCTTCTTCTGCGGGAAACAAATAAATATTATTTATTGTTTTTGTCAGAAGTTATTTGTAACTGGAATTAATGATACAATGATACAAACACCGTATAACTTGATTTGATTTACAACTTAATGATTTTGAGACACTTTTAGAAATATCTTGAAGTATAGATACGTGTTAAATATATACACATACATAATAAATCAAGATTTATCGCGTTCATAAATTTTGTATCTAACGTGACAAATTCTTCACCGGATACTTACTTTCGACGAACGTTTCTTGCAATAATGGAAGCATTACGCGTACACCGTACGATTGAAAACACATCGATAGTAAGTATATCCATAATATCAGTTCCGTTTCTTTCCTCGGTCTTTCAGTGCACCAACAGAGACAAAATTAGAGAAATTCTGTGCGTAAATCGAGACAACATCGGATAAATTACCCTGAAAATTGACATTTTCAATTGAAACGACAGATAATAGAGAGGAAAACACAAGACACCCTGATGATCTCGTTTTTTTTCGATTTGGTATCAAACAGCGCATGTAGATATGTATACGTAGCATCAGTAATCGTTCATATTGACTATAAGAATCTAATTGGTATGATTGCTTCGACAATCAAGTCGTACAAAGAATTGATAACGATGAGAATGATCACGTATGACTAGTCGACACGGTAGGGTTCGAAGTCGCTTCAGTGTCAGCCTCAGTGCTAGTTTCAAGTTCTTGTAACTTAAGTGAAAAATGAACTTCTTTGATGGACATAATTATAGAATCAATAAAATTCTACTATCGACAGTCGGCCAGTGGCCGTACCAATCGTCTAGAACGAGTCACGTTATAGTTATCGTCATAGCTACTATAGCTTGTTCGCAATTTCTTACTAAGGTACGAAGATGAGATATCAATGTTATCATGTTAACTTTTATTTTGAATAAAAATTCAAAATAAATTTAACTCTTACAAATAAATCCTTAAATTCACGTTACCTTCGTAACACTGCATAAACTCTACAAAACTACGAAATCGATATATCGCCAATTTAATTACTATTTTACATAGTTAATATTGCAATTGAAAACATTAAGAAAAAAATCCTATAAAGGTTTAAATCACGTTTGTAAAGATTTGGTAGACTTATTTATTTTGAAATTTGCACATAATAATTTTATTATTATTATCAAAACAACCTTTATCTCTTGTGCTTAAATTGTATATTTATATTTGATTCCGTTGAAGCTGTGTGGTATGTTCTCTTATATTCATGACATGGACGTTGTGATCGAATGTCTTATACCGATAATGATCGATATATCAGGTATAACGAAAATAACAAACTCCATACTGTATGCGGATGAGGTATATGCAATTATAATTTTTAGTATATGGTATATCACAGTTATTAATACAGTTTTATTCGACGTAGTCTATCTATATATACTTTTGAGCTATGTTATCAAATAATGTATACTGTATATCATATATTGTCAAATCAAAGTGGATAGCTGTAACAAGTAAATTTGCAGATAAGAGCAATGCTCGATCGGATACAAGCAGATTTTTGTTCGCTAAATAATTTTGACGACATAGTAATTCTTCAAAAATATGCAAACAATGGTAAAAGATTCTCGACTATTTATATCTGTGAGTAAGTAATGATCTTAGGACCCCTCGAAATGACTGTAAATATTTGGTATATTATATTTATTCATTAGGTTTAATTATGTATAACTTCTGTTTTCCCTTTTAGTTAAATTAAAGTTATCCTTTAAATTGTATTTTAAAATTTATTTATTTTAAAATTTATGTCCTTTGTAAATTTTATAATGCAGTCTAATGTAATATATGTCCGTCGTTATTAATTATATATATATTATAATTAATTATATATATATATATATTTCGTGTTCTCAACTAATAAACAGCTCATCTAACTTTTTTTGAATGAAGATGAAAAAATAAATATTAATTTAGTTAAAAAATTTACTTCAATTTTTAAATCAAATATGACTTTTCTTTTATTCAATGGAAACAATTTATTTATTAATCACATAATCGCCATCTTTATCTATGATCTTTTGCTGACATTCTGGCAACAAAATATTATCAACATTGTCACATGTATTAGGTAATTAGGAGATTGAATTAAAGGCTTTAGTTTTGAATAAAAGGCTTTAGTAACAAGTTAATGGTTAGTACGAATGTTAAAATCTGGCAACATTGAAAGATTTGACATTTCTCTTTATGATGATATTTGTTACAACTTATGGTGATCAAGTTCCATCATATTCCAACTGTACATTTTGGTTTCAACGATTCAAAAGTGGTGATTTCGATTTGAGTAACAATGAACGTATTGGTCAACCAAAAAATTCGGAGATTCTGAATTGCAAGCATTATTGAATGAAAATGAACAGTACCGCTCAAACGTAAAAACAATTGGCTGAACAGCTCAATGTCGATAAATTAATAATTTCTTACTTCAATAAACGCTTACACACCATGGAAAAAATTCGAAAGGAAGACGAATGGGTTTCACCTGAATTGAGTAAAAGTGCCATTGCAAATCGTTTGAATATCGCCATATCTTTACTTGGCAGACAAAAGAGTATTTTGTAGGAAGTTGAATTATAACTGGAGATGAAAAGTAGATTTATTTTGATAATTCAAAACGATAAAATCATGGATTGATCCAGGACAACCATCAACATCGACACCAAAACGGAACATTCACGATCACAAAACAATGTTCTGTATTTGATAGAATATGGAAGGTGTGGTATACTATAAGCTTCTCAAATCGAATAAAACAGTTACGAGGGAGCGATACCAACAACTATGGAACAAATTGAATTGTTACGTCCTAGAGGAAGAACGCAACTATATTGTTAGCGCAGAGTTTCCAATTTTATAACTAAAACGTCGAACACATCTGGAGAACGTTCCCAGATATAAACTTTGCATAGAGACGTATAGGTTAGATTTTTACAACAGGGCACTATTTCTTGTTTTTAAATTTTTCCGGATCACCTTTGATTTGACGCGTGCGGCTGTTCGCCAGATGTATCTGTTTCTTATATCCGTTATATTAAGAAAATAGAGGTTCGAGAGAAAAAAAAGAATTTTTTAATTGTCCGGAGTACGCAGGACGCGAGCGTAACATTATTGATGAGCCAGTATACATATATTGTGAAGTTTTAGACCTAGAGCTTTACGCTTTGTAAATATATGCTTCTTCCATGTTAGTTACCGATTTAGATAAAGATAAAGGCCTAGGTATTTAACTTCCTCAGCTTGAGGGATTTAGGTTCCATTTAATTTTACCGGGGGACATGGATCACGTTTGGTGGTGAATGTGACTTGTACTGATTTAGTTTCGTTTACTTTAATGCGCCAGTCCCTGAGCCAAGTTGAAATTTTGTCAAGGCTACTTTGTAGCTTGAGTGAGGCTATGTTAGGATACTGAGCAATAGCCAAAATCGCTGTCATCAGCAAATGTTCCAGTAACTACACTCTTCCGTCACTGGAAGATCCGTAATATACAGAGGATATAAGGTAGGGCCCAAAACGCTACTTTATGGGACCAGCCAGGATTTTACGAAGATTAGTTGTAGTCTCACCATACTTCACTAGAAAATATCTATTCTCTAGGTAGGAACTGATGAAGGTATAATAGTTAATTAGGAGTGAGATTTTGATCTTAAACAAAAGACCTTTGTGCTAGACACAATCAATCGTCTGGGATATATCCAGGAAGACAGCTGAACAATCAAGTTTATGTTCAAAGATTGAGTGTTTTCTTTAAATATCTTAAAAATATTAGGCAAAAAAATGTTTTAGACAAAAATTGTTCAAATTATTTGATAGAATAAGCTTATTAATAAAAAATTGAGGTTTCCGTTTAAGAAAAGTATGTTCAATGAATATCTCGAAAGTGCCGCCATTTGTAAATAAACTGATATAGTTGTTTTATGTCTTCATTGAAACCATACAACTTTTGTTCGTAACGCTTTTTTTTCTAAAATACTTAGTTTTCAAGATATTTTACAGGTCCGGGATTTTTGGACACCTTGTACGTGATGTTATTTTTTGGAAGTTTGGTCAAATCTTATGATTGATCTAATGTTTGCTAAGTTCATGAGGATTTACAACTCAGTCCGCAATAAGTATTTCAGATGTCACCGAAATCATAAATATTTGTTTAAGGCGTAATGTACTCGGTAACAATACTATTCATGCTGACGCCGTTCCAACCGTTAATCCTTCATGTTGTAAACGCTACGAGTCGCCCGATGTTGCACAGGGTCGAATATTACGTTGATATGGATACATATTACTTTCCAATTTTAATTCATGGATATTTTACCGTGATTATTTGCATGACTTCCATTGTCGCAGTGGACGCCATATTTATAATATTGGTGCAACATGTTTGCGGACTCTTCATGATTATTAGGTGAGTGACAGTATCTTATGATAGAATATTTGATATGGAATGTTTATTTCTTTATATGTCTCTTTTCAATTTCATCTTATTATTTTCCAAGTACGCGAATAGAACGTGTGATACAGGAGAAACATTTAGTCGGAGATGCCGATCCTCCTGTTGTAAGAGATAAGACATATCAAAATATGGTACGATGCATTTACGACCACAAAGCGGCTATAAGGTTTGTGCCATTCGTGCTCTTATTGTTACTGACCGTTATTGTTACTTATCTTATTGTTACTGTTAGACCGTTAAAGTATCTATACACGTCGTGTATTAATGTAATATTACGTGTATTAATGTAAAATTCAAACTAAGGTTCGCCGATCTCATGGAAATTGCATACTCGAAACACTTTCTATTCAACGCCGGGTTAAATATGATGGCTATGAGCGTCACGGGTGTTGGGGTATGTGTGATTCATATTTTAGGTTTGTTGAGTTAGATTAGGATAAATGTTCGGTGATAAATGTCTTTGATCAATTTGAGAACAGAGCAGGGAATGGCGAGCAGTCAAGAAATGTAAATCCTATATTAACTCTAGCTAAGAGAAAAGCGATTGCAGGTTGATGAACAAACTTTTTGTATCACCATGCGCGTGCGTGGTGTGTGCGTATGCAGATATCGTTTCTTAATTTATTATATTTTCCGATTTAATGTATTTAAAAATTTAGTCTCGCCAAAATTATTTAATCAATCTTTAATTCAATTCTGATTAACACATTGAGTACCATGTTAATTTTCGTAGAAAATAATTAAACCTCAACTGATGATTAATTATCAAAGATATGATAAATAAATATAGTTTGTATATATACATATATCTTCTTGTTATTTTATTTTATTAGCTTCCTATTTTTCAAATGCGTTTAATTATATTTTTTTATATATACTATATTTTATATTTTATAAGTTATATTTTTTTATAACTTTTAATGATATCATTAACTATCATTAAAAAATACATATAAAATATAATTAATCGCATTTGAAAAGTCGATCATCGATTAATTACATAATATTGAACGTTTTAATTTAATATCAGGCCTGTGTTAATTTAATGTTAGACATTTAATGTTTAGGCCCTGGCAAAAATAGACGACCCGTCTGAGTTTTTCAAACTAATAGCGATCTCGTGGGCATTACTGTTTCACTTATGTTTCGAGTGTTCGAACGCTCAAAGACTGATGGATTACAGCGAATATCTTCATATGAAACTGTACGTATTTATTGACACGAGATTTAGTCCTACTGTAAACAAGATGGTTGATATTAAATTATTATTGATAACACAGCCCTACAAAAAAAATGGTCGGTACCGGACAAAACCGGACAAGTATATTCTTATGTATTTTGATCCGCTGAATTCGAATCCGAGGTCAGAATTGGACAATTGCTAACTATATCGTCCCTAACTTCAAAAAACTGATTATAACTTCACTTAACAAAATTAAGCTATATATGGTTGAATTCAGATTAAAAAATGCTACAATTCTTGTCGTTACAAAAATTTTCAATTTGCAAAAATAAAGATGATGGGAGGGGGATATAAAAAAATATAATATTTTTAAGAAATCTAACTACACAGTTGTAAGGAGTGTCAAAAACCATACAACTTTTATCTGAAACATTTTTTGTATCTTTTATAGTTTTTGAAATATAGTCTCTCAAAACCAAATATACCGATATACCTTGTAAGAGTGATTTTAACCCCTAAATATGAAATTGGCCACGTATAAAAAAATACGTGTCTCTTATTTTTAGCTACTTCATAACATATAATATATATTATATTATATATTGTATTATATAATATATATTATATTATATATTGTATAATACATATATGACCTTGATAACATATATCACGATTACTGACTTTTGAAATTAATTTTTTATAAATATTTGTCTTATTGTTACTCAGATAACATTTACTCAGATAACATTTACTCAGATAACAGTTACTCAAATAACATAAACTTAAATATATATGACTTGAAAGCTTCTTCTTACTTATCATTGCAGAATAAGTTTAAACTGGTATGACGCTTCGCCTAGAACGAAGAAGCTCATTATTCTCATGATGATGAAAGTTCAACAACCTTGCGTGTTGACTGCTGGCGGTATATTCGTTTTATGCATGGAAACATTTGCCACGGTAAGATAATATGAAATATTATAGGTTTACATGATTTACATTCGTTTTTTTTCTTCAAGATTGTGAAAACCGCTATATCATATTTCGCTTTTCTACGGTCGATACAATAATAGATTTTGTTTCCCGAATTTGATGTAAGAAAAATATTGGAAACACCCTTAAAGATTAATTACAAATTTTCATCTAAAATGGAAAGTAATTTTTATTCGAAGATGTATGTTTAAAACAAAATTATAAAATAAAAACATATAAAAACGATATTTACCGGTGATTTATTAATGCAATGAACTTTTTCATTAATATTTTACATAGGAATAAGTGTAGATGTTAAATGTATAGCAATATATATTATCAAACCAAATAATATAAAGTTTCAGCATGTATATCTATATCTTAAAGTAAGTTAATGATATTTATATACAGGATGGCCCACGTAAAGTGTTACATGTCCATAACTTTAAAAATATTTATCAAATTAAAAAATTGTTCGCAAGGAAATTTTATGTATTCGAGAGGCCTCTCTAACTATATAAACGTAAAGTTGCCCTCGTTTCCCCTTTAAAGGAGGCCAGGGATAACATCATAATTTTAAATGGAACCTCCTATAAAATGTTGCATATTTGGATCCTACGGGAGAAAACAAGTACATTTTATCTGGAACATTTCTTTGAAAAATGCTTCTATCAAAAGTTATAAGCATTTAAACTTTTAGCGATTTCATTCATAATTGAACTCCATTGACACAAAGTTGCGTTCGCGATACAACAAAAACAAAAAAGACCTTAGAGTACATATTTGATGTTAACCAAAAGAAACATAAATAAACACATTTATCAGGAAACGTAAATACAGATCACAGACAAACACAGATCATCAGATATTTAATTAATTTTGAGCTGGTTTTCATGCTATCAAGTTCGAAAATCATGGCATAAAATTTACTTGTTTTTTTCTTGTGGAATCCAAATATGCAACATTTTATAAGGGGTTCCATTTAAAATTATGATGTTACCCCCATCCCCCTTTATAGAGGAAGCGGGGGTGACTTTACGTATGTAGTTAGAGAGGCCTCTCGAATATATGAAACTTTCTTATGAACAATTTTTTGATTTGATAAATATTTTTAAAGTTATGGACTTTTAACACTTTACGTGGGCCACTCAGTATAGGATATTTATTATATATAGAGGATGTTCCATTTTAACTTTCGCATTAAAAAATCTCGAAAATCATGAAAGATATTAAAAAAAGCTAAAATACGTTTTCCATGATTTCGAAGAGGAAAGAGAATGGCATTATCAGTTTTTTATTTGGAGAGCATTTTCAAGGTCAGTTAAAAGTCAACTTAATTTTTTTAAATAGGAAGCCCAATTTTTTATTATATCTTCTTTTTCTACCAATTAATTTTAACAACTTTTGTCTGAGACATTTTCTTATTTGCCTAATATTTTTTAAAATATTTAAGGAAAACTTGGTAATTTTTTCAACATTTAACTTATGATATCTCATTAATTATTCGTCGAAAGAAAAAATAGTATTAGATTTTTTTACTTTATTTACTATCAAGAATATATTACTATAATAATGCCCTAACTTTTGTTAACTTATTGATCTTCGGAAATTTCAAATTATTAAATTAACAAAAGTTGGGGCACTATTATAATAATATATTCTTGATAGTAAATAAAGTAAAAAAGTCTAATACTATTTTTTCTAATAGTTAACGAGATATCATAAGTTAAATGTTGAAAAAGTTATCAAGTTTTCCTTGGATATTTAAAAAAGTATTAGGCAAATAAAAAAATGTTACAGACAAAAGTTGTTAAAATTAATTGGTAGGAAAAGAAGATATAATAAAAAGTTTGGCTTTCTATTTTAAAAAGTTTTAAAAAATTAAGTTGACCTTCAACTGACCTTGAAAGTGCCCTCCAAATAAAAAACTGATAATGCCATTCTCTTTTCCCTTCGAAATCATGGAAAACGTATTTTAGCTTTCTTTAATATCTTTAATAGTTTTCGAGATTTTTTAATGCGAAAGTTAAAATGGGACACTCTGTATATAAGAGCACCTTGATATGCTAAGACGAAATTAATTATAGCTAATAAGTAATGTTTCTCTTAATAATGTAGGGCAATAAGAGGAGATTATAAAACATGCATATTACCCAGTATATTCCATCTAAACCTGCAAAATATATCATAAAAATATGGTAGATTTGTGATGACAAAAATGCTTATCCACTAAATGGAATAATTTACATCGAGAAGGCTGGAAATGTTTGAAAGAAGAGCCAAGAAGAAAGAATTGTGAAGGAACTTGCGGAGCCATAAGGAGCCAAAGGAAGTAAAAGAAATATATGCATCGACAACTTTCTCACATCGCTACCTTGCCAAACATTTATTGTCATGAAATTTGATCATCGTTGGCACTTCGAAAAAAAATAAAGCCTATATTTCAAAGACAATGTTTCTATCAAAAACAAGGGAAGAATATTTGATACTGTTTGGTTTTCACGAAAAAGTAATTATATTCGTATGAGCTGAAGAAAAATAAAGCCATAATTGTATTATCGACAATGCATTCGGATATGGCAGTGACAAACGATGTTAAGAAAAAGCCAGAGATTATATTATATTATAATAAGTACAAGACTAGTGTCGATGCAATGAATCAAATATAAAGGCGATACACAACACATCGCTATACGAACAGGTGGTTACTCGCTTTATTTTTTAATATTTTGGTTCAAATTTTGTCGCGCTTGCCGTGTACATTATTTATTATATTATAAAAATAATAAGATGTTAAAAAAGACCTACAAATGTCGCTTATTTTTGCAACAACTGAGCGAAGAATTTGCCATACCGAGTTATTGAAGATCATTCTCAAAACGTGCAACGTCATAAGAAATTACTCGACGAAGCTTGCGATTGAGAGCGTTCTCGATAAACAGGTGAATCTTGCTATGCTTCCTGGTTCTACATCTGTAAGAGATAACACATGAAGAAATATGATCAAAGTATCATGTCATTTGTGTTACTGGGGGATCACTAAAAAACGCAAGAAAACAAGAAAATCCTGTGTAGAATGCGGAAAACCTGTTTGCGATGAGCATGCTGATGAGTCACCATTACCAAATGTAAAGAATGTGATAAATAAATAATTTTCATATTTTTAATTTATAAAAACAATTGCTTTAATTATTAAATTCTCCTTGTAATTATATTAATTATTTATTGGTCAATTTATTCAGTAACTACAGATAAAACTCTATTCTAACAAGTGGGCACTCGGGTACCCCGAGTATTGAAATCAAGTAGGTAAACTTAACGATGATAATTTTTCCAGGCCTTAAAAAAAAGGTCAATGCATATTTTGATAGTGAAAAGGTCAAATTACGACGATCCGGACGGTCATAAAGAAATTCTCAAAATAACATTAAAAATTTTTCCAATATGTGCTTAGGTGGATACATATTGACCCGGGTATTGACATAAGGGTTAAGTTTAATATTTTATTGGGTTCAATGAAAAGTAGTTTCGTATTTTGCGGACAGATGGTTTTAAGAGGAAGTGTTTAGTGCAATATTTACTCAATATTTGACATTACATATTTTTTTGAAAAGTTAGGTTTTTCTGCGTATTTTAAGCTGTTATTTTTCAAAATCTATTAAGCAATTTTTATTTGGCGACATTGTAAACATGGAGCAAAATAAACAGTTTTTCGGCGTTTAATGCTTTTCTATTATATTCTTGTAAAGGGAAAAATGCAACGCAAACCAGAAAAGATACGTGCTGTGTATGGAGAAGATGTCGTCAGTGAACGTGTGTGCCAAAACTAGTTCGTGAAATTTCATGTTGGTGACATGTCAAGGTGGTAAGCGGTCAGGTAGACCATTGGTAGTTGATGATGACCAAATCAAGATATCGATTGAAAATAATCCACACGTTATACGAGAGGTTGCAGGGATAATCAACATATCTCAAAAGATCATTATGAATTTGCATACTTTTGGCTACGTATCTCGGTACGATATTTGGATATCTCACAATTTAAATAAAAAAAATTTAATGGACCGCATCTCCATCTGCGATTTATTGCTCAAACGCAATAAAAACGTTCCATTTTTAAAATGATGAATGATAACGGGCGACAAAAAGTGGATTGTGTATAACAATGTAAAGCATAAAAGATTATGAGGAAAACGAGATGAATCACCGCAAATCACATTTAAGCGAAACATTCATACGAAAGTTATGCTGTGTATTTAGTGGGACTGGAAAGGAATCGTGTACTACGAGTTACTTCCGCAAAACTAAATTGATTCCAATAACTATTGTTCCCAATAGAACTATTTAAAGGCAATCGATGAAAATCGCCCAGAATTGAGTAATCGTTATGGTGTTATATTTCCTACCAAAACAACGCTAGATCTCACATATCTCTGGCAACCTGGTAAAAATTATTGCAGTTTGGCTGGGATGTCTTCCGTATTTATCTGGCCTGGTACTATCAAAGTTATTCAAGTCTGCAGAATTCCTCCAATGGAAAAAATTTCATTTCTTTGGAGGCCTGCAAAAAGTATCTTGAGCAGTTTTTCGTCCAGAAAACTGGAAAGTTCAGAGAGGAAGGAATCTTTAATTTGCCTGAAATATGGCGAAAAGCTATAGAACAAAACGGTGCATTGTACATTAAAGGTATTTTCTAATACGAAAATGTTATCTTTGAATTTTATCTAATAATACGAAATTACCTTTTACTCAACCAATTTAATTTAAATAGTTTGTAATAAAACAGATATGTAATAAAACATGTGCACTGCTATTAAAAAAAATTGATCTAAATTTTATCAGGCTCAAAATGGGTCTCGGGCTTTGAATCTAATCAGTCCATGAAGGTCCTCTTTGAATCGAATAATTTTTGTCTGAAACGTTTCTACCTCAAACATAAAAGCTATGAGATTTTCTACAACTTATCTTTAAAACTTTTAAAAACTTAACCTTTAAAAACACTTGAACAATTTAAATTACATTAAAATATTAAACTTCAATTAAAACATATTTTCAATATCTATAATGAGGAATATGCATGTTTTATAATTTTCCCTTATATTATTAAAAGAAATATTATTTATTGGCTATAATTAATTTCGTCTCAGCATATTAAAATGCTCCTAAATTATATATAATTTTTTCACAATTTTTTACACGGTGTCGAACATTATACCATTGGTAAGTACTACTTTGGTTGTTATATATTTGATGAAACACTATAAAAGTTCTATCGTGCGAAGCACTTAGTGCGAAAGTACTAAGAAAGGCAAGGTCGGTCCCGGTAAGATATTATTGGAGCGGGAATCAAAGTGAAATTTGCCCTGGCTTCTTTTGAGGATAATGTTTCTTTCGAGGAACGATCGTGAAGTTCAAGCGTTGCTGATGCACTTTTAACTTTCCGCGAAATCGAGACTTAATTCAATCCCTTTCGTGTACACGTAACGATCGCGTCGGCGACAAAAAAGAATATCGCGTACGGTGCGCCGAGAATTTATCGTTTCTCTTAAGTGCCTTGTAATACTACAATATATCGATTTAATTCTGTTCGCGGTGTAATTTTTCTCAATTACGCGTCGTCATCCGCGCTCGCCCAAACGGAATGCATAACGAAGCCAGTGAGGTCTTTCACCGCCTATATGGGCGTGTGTCGTGTATGTGTGTATATGTGTATGGTGTATATGCGTGTGTGCATGTATGTGTTTGTACATGTGCATATGGGCATGTATAAGCTGCTTCGTTGCAAGCGCAACAGTGCTATACCTGCTGCGAAATAGTCAGGATGGACAGCGTTCAAGGTCAATATATGCGTATCAATCACTTCCTAATGTATCTCATCGGTCAATGGCCGTATCAGGAGAATTGGGAAAAAGCTTTGATCCAAATCGTCTTCGCGCCCTTGGTTTTCGCCCAAGCGGTCATCCAGGTAAACCCACGCTTTTCTAAATCTCTGTCGAATAATCGTAAGGAACGTGCAGTGTAATTAGTGCCACTGTTCTCGTAAAAACGAGATTATACTATTGACGAAATAATATTATACATGTCGTGAAGTTCTTGAATAAAAAGATCAAAATGCAGAGTAAATTCTTTCAAGCGATTTTATTGTATAAACATATCAAATTATTGGGTTGTTCGAAAAGTTATTGCCTTTATTTTCGATAGATATCTTTACCCACCCTGATAGCATATATCCTCCATGAGGATGAAGAAACATCCCCAGGACGTCCTCAAGATGTCAGTAGCTCTCGGAGTCGACAAATTATTCGTTTCGAGGCGGTTACATAGGGAAGTTCTAGGGAAAATCCACAAGGAAGGAAAATAGGTGCCTCATCAATTGTCAATAAGCTCAAAGTTGAATTGCTTGAACATTTGCATTTCCTTGCTTGCTAAACATAGGAAGAAGAGCATTTTATGGCATATCGTGACTGGCAACAAACAGCGAATGTATTACGAATATCCGAGACGGAAGAAGACATGGGTGGATCCCAGTCAACCTTGACACCAAAACAGAATATTCATCGAATCTAGATAATGCTATGCATTTGATACAAAAGGCATAATGTACGCCTTTCATATCAAATATCAAATATCAAATGCATAGCATTATCTTTTTTCCATGAATATTCTGCTGATATCGCTAGTAGTACTAATTTCGTGTTTGATGGAACGGCTATACTTGTGTTTTGAAGGTGTATTTGTGAGCTTTGAACCGCAGTAGTAGACATTCGTTTGAAGCGTAAACATCTTTTTTTCGCGTCGAAAATGGCAACATTTACCCCAACAAAGCAGCATTTGCGGGAAGTGTTACTCCATTACTATATTCTGAAGAAAAGTGCTACTGAAACGCATCGAATGCTTGTTGATATTTACGGCGATCATGCTCCGTCGAGTACCACATATAAAGAGTGGTTTTCGAAGTGGTGATTATGGCGTGAGCGACCGAAAACGCGACGGAGCATCTAAAAATTTCGAAGATGCACAACTGTAAGATTTACTCGAAGAAAATCCGAGTCGAACGCTCGAAGATTTTTCAAACGAGTTAAATGTTAATAGATCTACTGTGGGAAAATGTTTACATGCATTGGGAATGGTCCGAAAATCAGGAAATTGGGTGCCACATCAATTAAAGGAGAGAGACATTGAAAGACGTCTGGTGACATGCGAGATGCTGCTTCAAAGACAAAAAAGGAAAGGTTTTCTGCATCGAATTGCAATGAAAAATGGATCTACGACAACCCCAAACGACTGAAATAATGGGTGATGCTAAGTGAACCAGGTTCATCAACTCCAAAATGGAATATCCACGGTTCAAAAGTTATGTTATGCATCTGCTGGGATCAGAAGGGCGTTATTTATTATGAGCTTCTAAAACCGTCCGAAACCATCACTGGGAATCGTGGTCGACTGCAATTAATACGTTCGAACCGAGCTTTAAAAGAAAAATGGACTACCGGAATGGGAGAATAGGCATAATAAGCTGATTTTGCTACACGACAACGCTAGGCCCCATGTTACAAAAATACTTGGAAGGATTGAATTGGGAAATTTTGCCTCACCCGCCGTATTCACCAGATATTAGTCCTTCAGATTTCCACTTATTTCGATCCATGCAGTCGGCCCTTTCTGGAGAGCGGTTCCCATAAAGCACTTCTCATAAAGGTATCGAAAAATGGCTGAATGAATGGATCGAATCAAAAGAAGATTTTTTTCTTCGAGGAATCCGTTTACTACTTGCAAGATGGGAGAAAGTTGTCGCTTCCAATAGGGCGTATTTTTAATAAAATCATTTTGTATTTTTTTGTTTAAATAAACAACTAACTTGTATTTAAAACAGGCGGAAACTTATTCCCATACTAAATAAATAGTAAGTTTTTTGAGAATGGGATCATGAACCGAAAGATGGCAGAAGAACCGAAAGATGTCATCAACAAAATGGACAATATATCATTAACTAATATTCATTTTTTGTATAAAATAAACGGTCTTGAAAATCACTGAAAAAAACGCAATGAGTTTTTGAACAATCCAATACATATTGTTAAATGTAAGAAAGAATATAATAACAAAGTTAAATGGGCAATTATTTCAAGTTTAAAAACATTCTACGATAAATAATGTAATTCCAGAACGGATAGAAGGTTGAGTTACATCAATATACACATACACATACATACACAAACAAAATCAATAATTTTTGTTCAATTGTGATTACTAATATGTTATTATTGGACCATGTTTAATAATAAAAAATACGATTATCAAATTAATCAAAATGATAATAGCAATTACTATATTACTATTTTTGGAGACAACGATATAGTGACAATATTTAATCCGAATTACTGCTTTATGTGCATATCATGTTTTCTCGATAAATATTGTATTTGACTGTTAATATTCACGAGGTTTTTTGTTCTCGGAAGTAGATATTATTGCCAGTACACAGCCGTTAATTAGGAGTCTCTCAAACCTTCGGAAACTTTGCAGGGCGGCGGTATGATCACCGCTTTGTTGGCAGGTGACATTGACGTAGCTATGGAAAGTTCGTCACCATTCGTGATTAGTTTAATGTGTATTTGCAAGTACATTAATTATACGTACAATCATAAGCAGGTATTTCAGTTGTCGAACACTTGAGTCTATTACTTATTTATTACCTTGTTGCACTACACTAAGCCTAGCTCTTCTCATAAACGTAGATGAAGAGGCTCACAGTTATAATGACGGACGACTGGAATATGCATTCGAAGTCTAGTCAAGAATATGATATTCTTTGCAGGAATTACGAGATTGGCAGAAAAATCACGATTGGTTACGCAGGTAAAGCAAAACAAAATTTATTAGGTACCAAGCAAATTTCGCGTATCAGATTTTATAGACGAAATTAGAACCATGCACGTATGCAATTTTTAGAAAAAATAATTACTTAATCTTTATGTAGAATAAAAGCGTCAAATTGATTATGCAAGAGGCAATAAAAATAAAGATAAAGTTGAACCATTTCAGAAATATGTAAAACAATTTGATATGACTCAAAAAGATATCCTTTGCTCTTTAGGATTTTACGCTGTAGTTCGTCAGAGCAAATGGAAAAAATAGAATTTTGGAGCTTTAAGAGTTTACGACAGAAATCAACTTAACATACGAACGAACAAGAAATATATATACAAACGGATTTTGAATGAATTTACTAAGTAAAAGGTTACGTTTCTATTACATTAGTTTTAATGAAAAGTAACATTAAATTTGTATAAACAAACGAACTCTCCGAATGAAGTTCGCTTGGAATTATGCTTATGGTGTCGTCCGGATGGATATTGTAGTAGTGTCCTCTGTACACGCATCCCCCAACAGTTCATGTTTCAGCCAGAGCGAAAAAAGGGGGCGCGTGCGCCACCGCTCTCCCGCGCGCTCGCGCAGAACCATTTCATTTTTCAGAACGAAACAGCAAATCGCCCAATGTGGAGACCGCGGGTGGGAAACGCGGAAACTGTGGGAGGGAAAGTCCACCCGGACAAGACCACAAGCATAATTCCAAGCGAACTTCACTCGGTGAGTTCGTTTGCTTATACAATTATGCTCTGTGGTCTCGTCCGGATGGATATTGTAGATGTTCAGAAGACGATTTGCAGTGCGCAACTTGCTGCAAAAGAGTATATTAAACGGAGTGTATTAAACTGCAAGGAGGCAGTCGAAAAACAAAGAAAACGTGAGCTTAAGCGCGAAGGACGGAGTTCGTAAAATCCTCACGGTGGAGGATAGGACGATTATAGAAACGTGCGAAAAACTTAGGAGAAGCCTGACTAACCGGCCGCATTAAGTCCGGCCGTTTGATTAAGTCTAAAGCTACCCCGTTTCGCGCTGCCAATGAGGTGGATGCATGACGGGTAATACTATGCGGTGTGAACAAATCAGTGCGGACATCGCACTCGCCAAGGCTAACTCGCAGTCAGCGACCGATCGCCTGCGTGTCGATGGCACGATGCGGGCGTACATAAGAAATAAAAAGTGAATAAAAAAGGAATTGCCCGAAGAAATACGCAAGTCGCGAGCAACTTCCAAATAATGCTTAACTAAGGAGCAAATACATAAGCTCGTGTTATCCGGAAACGGAAAAAAAGAAAAGAAAGGCTAGGAACGTCCGGGCGCAGAAGTCTTGAGGCGATTCGAGACTTTTTTTTTATAATAAGTTTGTCTGAAAAGATTATCCGAGAAAGGCGGAATGAGGCGAGCGTTTGCGCACGTTGACCTGTGCCAAGAACTAGGTGCAAGGCCAACTTTCTGGATAAGAGTGACAGGGGAAGCGAGTCGTACGGATATATAGTAGCGAGATGAGCAATAACACATGTTGAATCGCAGACGAAATCGTAGCGAGGGCGAAGACCACCTTCGCCCACTCCTCCCACAAAAAACGCTTAACAAGCGCATAGTTATCAATCTCACTATATGTGATAAGAGGGACGGCGCTACGAATCGTATCGAGTGTCGAATACGAACGGACACACATGAACTCGCGAACAAGAAAATCTAGAAATTGCTCCGGAGCTGGCGAGAACAGAGGGACGCTTGAGGAATGACCATAAAAAAACCACCAGTCGCGAAGGGGGCGAGAATATTGACGGACCGTAACGTCCGTGAGCGAAGCGACAGTAGTCTTCACTGCACTAGGTACCTGGCGGTCAAGGAAAGCTAACCGGACAAGCGCCCGACCACCAGGGAAAACGTTCGCCAGGCCGGATGACGATCCCTGAAAGGAGAAAAAAGCAAATCAGGAAATGGCGTAAGGATGAGAGGCGTCTCCATAGGAAGATGATTGAATAGGGGAAAACCACGCTTGAGATGGGCATGAAGGGGCAACGACGACCGCCTCTGCGCGGTCGTTAATAATTTTACGAAGAACACGCGGTAAAAGAATGAATGGGGGAAAAGCGAAAAAATTTTATATCTGCCCAGGAAAGTGTAAACGCGTCCACCGTCATAAAGCTGGGATCGGGAAAAACCAAGAGACGTAGACGGAACATTTTGCATTGATAATAGATACGAACAGGTCTAGGTCAAATGGTCCAAATGTAGTCAAGATCTTCGAAAAAGCGGCGTGCGTCAATGACCATTCAGTGTCTAGGCTGACGGCTCGTGATTCGCTATCAGTGATGGTATTATGGATAGAGGCAATATAAGAGATAAAGATAAAAACGTTACGGTCTTCGCACCAGGTCTAGATTTGCCGCGCCAATGATATAAGGCGCGGGTATTGCACCGAGCCGAAATAGTTGATATAAGCAATGGCTGTAGTATTGTAGTATTGTCGACGCGGAGAAGGATGTCGCAGTTTCGAAGATCTGCTGCAAAGCACTGCAAAGCATAAAAAACAGCTTTGAGTTCAAGAAAATTTATATGACGGGACCGTTCAAACGCCAACCACCAACCACGGGTATGATACGATCCACACGATGCACCCCAGCCAAAGAAAGAGAGAGAGAGAGAGAGAGAGAGAGAGAGAGGCGCGCGCGCCCCTTTTTTTCGCTCTGGCTGGAATATGAACTGTTGGGGAGTGCGTATACAGAGGATACTAATACAATATCCATCCGGACGAGACCACAGAGCATAATTCTCTAAATAGAAACACATCATTTTAGATAGATTTATGTTAATATGTGAGAGTATTTTCTGTGTCAAATGGAATCGAATCGAATCGTTAAAATTCCAATCAAATCGAGTTGAATCGGATTACATGGTCGAAACTTAATTTTTAATTAATAACATAACCTGGTATATCAGTTATCAGATATTGCGAATAATTTTAAAGAGAATATGTGAGAATAACAATAGTTGGTCGTATGTATGATAAAATAGCCACACAATATTTTTTCCGGGCTTGCAACTTCCTATATGAATCAACTACCCATACAAAAAAACATTTTTTTTATTTATAATCATCAATATTAGAATTCGACTATCCAATTTCTAATTATTATATTTAATTGTGCGTTAATAGACTTTTGTTTAAGAGTTATGAAAAATATTATCTTAGCCAAGAATTGAACCTGAACCTTTCTATTTGCTGAACTTTAAATATATTTTTCGAAATTCGAATTCTTTGAATTCGCAATTCGAAATCTTTGAATAATTCTAATTCGAACAGCAAGGATTCGAAGTCGAATCGAATGCGAATAGTTCCTACATCTCCAATATAATATAATATGATTAAAAATGATTAGTTTATAATCGCTCGCAATTATTCACAAATATTCTTTAATCAATAATTCCAAATTTTATATGGTTTCTTGCAAAATAGTACAGGACTTTTTTATTCATTTTGATCTGATCTATGGTAGAGGTCGCCATCACAACTCATTTAACAGAGATCGCATGAATAAATTCAACAATCTTTGTAATTAATCTTTTTTAATTAATAGTTTAATATTTTACATGGCTATTTGCAAAGTAGTAGAGAAATCTTTTTTTCAGTTTAATTTAACCTACATACGTAAGAGTTTTATGTATTATTGTCAGACATCCTGCGCGCGCGCGCGTGCGTATGTATATAAAGCTTATTTTATTTATGGATTTTGAACAAAATTGGAATTTCGCTTGTGGAATATTGAAATTTGCTCAAATCGAAGGATCGGCGTAAATGGCATCGTTGATAAATGACATCGCATTTACAGCTTCCCTCTACGGCTCTATGACCCCTTTTCTGGTCGTGCCGGTAATATTAAACACAGCTAGCTATATGGGATTATACAACGTCTCTGAAGGGAGACCTGTAATGTTCCGTTCGGACTATCTCCTGGATGTCGAAAAGTATTACTATCCACTATTGGTGCATTCGTATATCGGTACTCTTGGATTCGTCTCAATAGTCGTAGCAATCGACTCGATGTTGGTGTTTCACGTTCAGCACGAGTGCGGCATGTGCGAAATACTCGGGTAACTCCGCAATAACGACATTTTATAAGAAAAGAAACAGCATTCTCATTTTCAACATTTACTTCACTTCACACATCTCATGTGACAATTCGCATTTTCATATACGTATGTTTTTCACGAGAAAAGAGATCTCAGTGACGTTCATTTTATCTCATGCTGACAAATGTCTCACACTGTCACGCATTTTTTTTACGTTTTATATACGTTTAATATGAAGATACATACATTTTTATCATGTGAAACGATTGTTGTCAAACGAACGACAAGGAAGACTACAATAAATATATATCATTATGGTCGTGGTTTTCATTAATGCGTATATTACCCGATTTTATCTCATCCATATATGACATTTAAATGTCTCGACTGGTATTCGGACATCGCGACTCATTTGAATCATGCGCGATTAAATGTCGTCAAATTCCATGTTCACTCACGTTTAAAATATGTTCATCAATGAGCATTTTTTAGATATCGGCTAGCACGGATTGTTGACGCGACTACTTTAGACACAGATTTGCGTCCGAGTAGAGAAGAGGATATAGCATACAAACACGCTAAAGATTGTGTCATCATGCATAACCACATAATAGAGTTAGTATTTCTAAATTATACTTTGTGCCTTGTCGTTATATATTTTTATATTAAGAATTACCGCACAGATGATAAAACATATTGGATGATTGCATATATATACAGGGTGTACCAAAAGTCTGGAAACGGTCGAATATTTCATAAACTATGCATTTTAGAAAAAAAATGTTTCAGACAAAAGTTATTTAGTTCGAGGGGATACATAAGATGGTGTCATTGGATTGACCTGGAGTGAACGTTCCAAGGTCATACAGAGTTCAACTTTGTTTTTTAAATAGAACACCCTATTTTTCATTGCATTTTCTTATAGTTCGTCTTGAGAGCTTTCCAAAATGTTATAAATAAGTTATGTTCCATTGAGTATTTTCCGAGTTATGGGGCTTGAAAGTTACATTACCGCTGGCATTAACCAAGGTGTACTGCGTGGAGATTGCACGATCGGATTTACGCCACCTAATACTGGTTTCTAAAAACTTTTGCAGCAACTCACGTATTACTGTGGTGCATTTTGGCAGATATTTTAATATTATTGTAATATCATTGTAATAATGTATTAATATTTCTACTATATATTACATTGTAATATTGCAATGTGGAAGTAATATTATTGTGATATTGTTGCAATATTATGTTATGTTATGTGGGATAATAACATTTATATAAAATCACAAAAGTAGTTTTTTAATTATAATGAAAATTACAAGTAAAAAAGAACATTTTTTAACATAGTATGTTATTTGTAATTTCAATTTTTTACACGTTAACGTTAAAGTGTAAGTGTAAGTAAGTGTAAGCTTACAAACACTAGTGTTTGCAAACAAACTTTAGTTTGACCGATATTGATTCGATATTCAGATACAATAAACTTAGCTAATTACATATTAATTGCTATATATCCCACAATATATTTATAAATGTAGTACTTTTAAGAAATTTTCAAGAAAAATTTATATCTCTTATAAAATATTTTTTCCTAAACATTCACAGTATTTTATAAAATAGAGAATCGGATTTTTCTTAATGTAATAATGTCATAATTAAACTGACGAACATTTTGCAATATATGTATTTGCTAGAACTTACGCTCCATACAATACAGTTAGCACATATATTTCTGTTGTTATTGATAAATACTATTAATTTTTCTCGGACTTGAAGATATGCTAAAAGCCTCGAGAACGCGAATACGACATCATACTTTTTTCAATTAGGTTTCAACATGATTGGCATGACTTTTACGATATTCCAGGTTAGTATTGCAACAGATAAAAATACTTGCAATCGTAATATCGTTAGCGACAGTGCGTTATCGGTAATACTATTAACAAATTCCAATATAATTCCTGTAAGTACAATTACACATCCAGAAAATGACAAAAACTCATATTTAAAATTAGGCGGTGGTAAAGTTGACTGATCCGAAGCAAGCGTTGCGATACGCATCGTTCACGGTGACCCTTCTTTCCGTTCTTTTTCTCGAAAGCTGGCCGGGTCAGCAGTTATCGGATTATACCGATAAAATTTTCGCATTCATGTAAGTACCGTACTATATATTTCGTAATGGAAGAATTTCGGCCTTTAACCTCTGTTGCCTTATTTCGTCGAATGCAATTCGAACTAATTTTTAAATTTTATTTAAACTTTAATATAATATTATTCTATTTAGTGTTTAATGTAATAAAATTCAATTCTCAAGCAACGTACGATGAAAAATATTTTATACAGGGTGTCCGGTAATTAGCTGCCAATCCGAAGTGTTAAGGTAGATTGAATTATGTTTCAACATGATTGGCATAACTTTTACGATATTCCAGGTTAGTATTGCAAGATAAATATACTTGCAATCGTAACATGCTAAAGCCTCGTAATATGCTAAGCTGAAAAGAAAAGTACAATTTTGCAAAAATCGCAAGTAGTTAAACAAGGCGGGTTCTAACTTACTTTTTAAATTGAATTTTTAAAAGCCTGACCTTTTTAATGAAATATTTTCAAACCTGACCTTTTTAATGAAATATTTTCAAACCTGACTTTTTTAATGAAATATTTCTAAACCTTACTTTTTTAATGAAATATTTCCAAACCTGACTTTATTAATGAAATATTTTAATTAATACCTCTCCCCCTCTTTATTGATACCCCCTCTTTATTGATACCTTCTCTCCTCCCCAGAATTGTTTGATTCTATGGGCAAGAAAGATGGCGAGCGGTCGTGACATCACGCACATGTCCAGAGAAAAACGTGTCGGGTGTTGCTAGACTCGAACCTGGGCCCCGCGGTTGCTATCGAACGCTCGAACCTCATATACCACTGCCTCCTATTGCTAGTAGACGTCACGTTTACAGGTAAGAGATGGCGGCCGTGACGTCACGGACATGTCTAGAGAAAAACGTGCCGGGATGTAGGTAGGCTCGGACCTGGGCTCCGCGGTTGCTATCCGAACGTTCCAACCTCCTAGACCACCGTCGCCTATTGCTAATAGACGTCACGTTTACGAGTAAGATGGTGACCGTGACGTCACGCACATGTCCAGAGAGGAACGTGCCGGGATACGTGCCGTGTAGGTAAGCTCGAACCTGGGCCCCGCGATTACTATCGAACGTCTATCGAACGTCTCTCGAACGTCTATCGAACGTCTCTCGAACGTCTAATAATCATCATACCGCAAATAAAGAACTGTATTTTTATCAAACACAATTATCATATAAAATCCTAAGAGGTGAAAGGGGATAAGCGTGTTGGAAGAAACATTTGTACATTTGAAATAATGTTTCATTAAGCGTCATGCAATTTTCTCCAAGATCATCAATTGAAAATGTTTAGTACATTCTGTAAGGCATAATTTTTCATATGATTACTACATCGAAAAGTATTATTCAATTTTTGCAGAGAAGGCATGTCATCATAATCGGTATCCACGGTCCTAATGATTACGTTGCTTCTCACATTGTCATCCAGAAGATGTAACAACCATTCCCGTTTCTCATGCCCCTTCACATACACAAGTTGAGATGCGACATCTTCAAGCTCGCCATACATATCACCCACCACAGCTGTAATAATCAAATGTTCAAGCAGTATCAAATGTTCTGCAGTATTTGACGGTTCCATCTTCCCATCGTAATCCATGATGATTAGCCGTTAACTAGTAGGCTCTCGATTTGTCTGATCTTGTGAGCAGATGCCATGGCATCGGATTCGTGAAGATATAGTGTGAAAGAATAGTTACATTCTTCAATATCGCCGCTTCTTTTACAATAAATCTCTTTCCAACCATGTACCCTTGTAGATCCACAAAAGTCGATACATCCATGGTGAAATATTCTTCGACACGTCCGGGAGAGAAATGTTGTTAATACTACGTGCGCAACTAAGTTTCCGGGTTTCACACATGGATGGCGCTAACGACATATGTAGTCGACATACATATCTGAAGTTTTTTTATAGCTTGAACATCTGTTAACAATAACCAATCGTAATACCAACACATATCGCAACGCAAAAATATTTTTTCTAACAACGAAAATGTCGAGTTTTGCGCCAAATAAACAGCATTTGCGGGAAGCTTTGCTTTTCTGCTTTAACTTGAAAAAAAAGTGCAGCTGAAGTACGTCGTTTACCTGAGGAGGCCTACGGCGAACATGCATCATCGAAAACTGCCTGTGAAGATTGGTTTAAACGCTTCAGAAGTGGCGATTTCGACACTGAGGACAAGGAGTGCTCCGGAGGACCAAAAACAATTGAGGACGCCGATCTGCAAGCGTTATTGGATGAAGATGATACGCAAACACAAGATCAACTTGCGGAGGCATTAAACATGACTCGCCAAGGTATTTCCAAACGTTTACATGCCATGGGAAAAATTCAAAAGGAAGGAAAGCCGCAAAAGGAAGAGGGACCGCATGAGTTGACTGAGAGACAGATGGAAAATCGAAGAACCACTTCCGAAATTTTGCTTTTGCGGCATGAAAGAAAGAAAGAAAATGTCCTGCATCGAATTGTTACTGGCGATGAGAAGTGGATATATTTCGAGAATCCCAAACGTAAAAAATCGTGGCCTTCACCTGGCGAAGCATCAACATCGACGGCACGGCCAAATCGCTTCGAAAAGAAGACAATGCTCTGCGTTTGGTGGAACCAAAAAGGAATCGTGTACTATGAGCTGCTGAAAAGAAGCCGGGCAAAACTATCAATGGGCATCGCTACCGACAACAACTGATCAATTTAAACCATGCATTGCTCGAAAAACGGCCAGAATAGGACAAGAGACACGAACGAGTGATATTGCAGCACGACAACGCTCCGTGTCGTCGCACTTCCATCGTCCAGGATACCATCAAAACGTTGAAATGGGATCTGCTACTGCACCCGCCGTATTCGTCAGACCTGGCCCCTTCCGATTATCACTTGTTCCGGTCGATGGCGCATGGGTTGGCTGGGCAACGCTTGGCCAATTTCGAAGAAGTGCAAAATTGATTGGATGAATGGTTTCGGTCCAAAGACGCGTCGTTTTATCGTCGCGGTATTCATGTATTGCCAGAAAGATGGCAAAATGTATAGCTAGCGAGGGACGATACTTGAATGAACCATTTTTTGTATTTCTCTTGAAATTTTCCATTTTTCATTGATCAAAAAACCCGGAAACTTAGTTACGCATCTAGTATAATGAGACCAGCTTCGCGGAGTTTTTCGATAATCGATAAAATTTCGTGCGAGTTGTTGCCAGCTTGGCGCGAAGCGTCAAGCAATCGCAGACGATCCACCAGCTCGTTAGGATCATCCCAATGCGCGTAATTGATATTGCTGTCATTTAAGGTCATCATAGCTTGCAATGCGTATAAACCTTTTCCTCCCACTTTATTGCTCGACGCATGTGATCCTAAGGGCGCGATTACATGTTTATATTTGTATACCTTTTTACCGAGTATAGGGTTTTGCGGGAGGTACCCGCGTCTGCGAATATTCCTCGACAATAGTATACTTTTGTATTTTTGCATATCAGCTTCGGTGTACACAGAATCGTCGGGGATTCTTTTGAATATTAGCTCGTAAAGACCGGGTGTTCCAATGTATCCCGTTTTGCCTATGATTATATTATCGTCTCTGTCCACATCACAGTGCTTTGAGTGGTTTAAAAAATTCAAACGTGGCGATTTTTACGTGAGAGGATGACGTTCAAACGCAACAACAACTCGCGGATCAATTAAATGTGACACGAGAAGTCATCTCCATACGTTTGAAAGCCATGGGAAAGATCCAGAAGATGAGAAAATAGGTTTCACATGAACTGAATGAAAGACAGCAGGAAAACCGAAAAACCACTTGCGAATGCTGCTCGCCAGGTACAAAAGAAAGTCATTTCTCCATCGAATTATGACTGGCGATGAAAAGTGGATATATTTTGAGAATCCTAAGCGTAAAAGATCATGGGTAACTCCAGGCGAACCATCGACATCGACTGTAAGACCAAATCGCTATGGACGGAAGACAATGCTCTGTGTTTGGTGGGATCAGAAGGGTGTGATCTATTATGAGCTGCTAAAACCTAGCGAAACCGTTCATACTGAACGCTACCGACAACAAATGATCGATTTGAATCAAGCTTTGCGTGAAAAACGACCAGAATATCAAAAAAGGCAACACAAAGTGATTTTGCTTCATGATAATGCACCATCACACACAGCAAAACTGGTCAAGGAAACGATTGAGGCGTTTAGTTGGGAAATACTTTCGCATGCGGCTTACTCACCAGACTTGGCTCCGTCCGATTATTACTTATTTGCATCGATGGGACACGCACTTGCTGAGCAGCGCTTCACTTCTTACGAAAATGTATGGAAATGGCTCGATGACTGGTTTGCCTCAAAAGAGCAACAGTTTTTTTGGTGTGTCATCCATAAATTGTCAGACAGATGGGAAAAATGTATAGCTAGCGATGGGCAATACTTCGAATAAAATATTTTTTATCATTTTCATACAATAAACGTGTATTTTCTATACAAAAATTCCGGTTTCATATTTACATACCTGGTATTTCATTAAAAAAGTCAGGTTTGAAAATATTTCATTAAAAAAGTCAGGTTTGAAAATATTTCATTAAAAAGGTCAGGCTTTTGAAAATTCATTTTAAAAAGTGAGTTAGACTTTTTTAAGTCTAACTACCGCCTTGTTTAATTACTATCGCAATAATTATCGTGTTATTAGTGACAGAAATCTGAAAAATGGGAGCGCGCCAACATAGATGATTGGAGAAACGTTGCAACCGCTCGGGCCACAGCGCGGCCTAATAGATCCAGCAACTGTTACCGGTGCGCAGTGAGAGGAAGGACAACGTGCTGCTATTCGTATTTTATCTCGCCGTACGTACATCTCGTCGCACACCGCCAACAGTTGCTGGATCAACTAGACCGCACTATGGTCCGAGAGGCTGCTACACTCCTCCAATTATCCATCTCGGCGCGCGCTCATTCGTCAGATTTCTGTCATTAATAACTCGATAATTATGGCGATTCTTGCAAAATTGTATTTTACTTTTCTTTTCAGCTTAACTTAATCTACCTTCACACTTCGGATTGGCAGCTAATTACCGGATACCTTGTATATTGAGTGGAGTCAAAAATAACTTTCGACAGAAATAATGAGTATTTATTTTTCTCAAACACTCGTAGAAAAAATCATTAAATTTCTTATTGATTGAGAACTAAAGCCATTTATTAATAATGACGAACATATTAAATATAAAATTAAATTTATGAAACGAGGAAAAAACGTAAATTATTTATGATTCAATCTTCAATATATCACGCGAAATGCCATTCGTGTAGACTTTGCGAATATAATCAATGATTTAACAAATCGCCCTTTTAGAACCAGCGGAAGATGGTATCAATCTTCGTTAAGAGTACGAAGGATAATCAGTATTATGCTAATAAGAAGTTACAAGCCAATTAGGATAACTGCGGGCAAACTATACACCTTAAACTTGGAGAACTTTTCTTCAGTAAGAGAACTTTTTTAAATTGAAATTCTCTCAATGTGCTGGATTCGCGTTGACGCATTGTTTTTTTTTAAGGTCGTGCGCACATCGTTCTCTTACTTCACGGTTCTCTGTTCAATGCATTAGTATTTGTTATGATTAGTAAAACATAAGGATTATCATCAATGATAGTCTAACTGCGAGCAATAAACCTTTTCCCTCCCATTTCTTCGATAACTTTCGTGAGTTACATACACAAGCAAGCGCAAATTAATATGTACCTACAAGAATTAACCGCTATATTTAATAATAATTGTAAATATGTGATTATTTCGTTATAATGAAATTTTGCAGAGCATGCGCAACATACATAAACAGACATAAACACATTGTTTTAGGTATTCAAAAAATCTTGTGAGAAATCTTGTGAGTGAGAAAAGCTTTAGATGTTATGTTTTATGTTTTAGCACTGAAGCAGATTGTCGATACTTGTTCCAGTGACAAATTCAAAGAAATTATTAGATTTTCTGTTCGCGACATTTGTAAATTTAATTCTTAGAGAATACTGAATTTATATGTCATCCGTATATAGATCGTTTACTTATATGTTGGGTACAACGCAATAAATAATTCGCGAAGGTTATAGATTAAGATGTTTATTATACTTATTATATTTATTATACTTACAATAATACAAATAAATATTTCATTCATTTACGTGAAATATTTATTAGTAAAATATATACAATTAAAATTACAAATAAAATTTATGGAGCTTGATCGTTTTAAAATATACAAATAGTACGTCATTAAAACTTGGTGATAAACGTGTAACATATCTAAACATCGTTTGTTACATCTGGAATTTTTACTGTATAGATCGTAGTAGCATAAAATACGACGACGATGTACGTATCACCTTAAATTGAATCAGATAAAATTTCCTGTCAATATAAAAAACGAAAGTCCGCACGTTCTAACGAAAAGTTTTTACTTACCGCATTAAAATTAACGTACGATAGGGCGACTAAATTGCCAGCGATTATTTGAAGTGGTTTTTTACTTTTCATCATGATCATTATGAGAAACTTCCTTTGCTCTGGTGACATTTTGTACCATTCTGCATTATATCTACAAACATATTAGAAGTTTATTTCTATCTATATATTATGACAAAAGTTACCATAAATATCTGTGACATCATTTTCGCGAAACGTAAAATATATTTTATATTAGATATCGAACTCAATTTCCGACCTTTTTCTTAAAAGACGCACTTATTTCAATAACAAAATGAATGAATACATTAATCAAAATATTTTCCATCATTCTCTAACTTTTTCCTATTTTTCTAAAGTAGTAAAGCATTATATTCAGCTGAAAGACATAGAGACCGGCAATCTTCATATTCACACTACACCAGAATATTCAATCTTCAGGATATTGAATTCCCCCCATGACAGTTAAACAAGTTACAAAATTTAAACATCTAAACAATATCTCTATCAACATATACACTATACAAGATAAAAAGAAGCAGGAAAAATCATATGCGATCGTTCCGATATGTCTCGCTGATAAAAAGGAAAAGCATGTAAATTTGTTATATATGCAAGATCCACGAGACACAACGTGGGACACTTCATGTGGATTAAGAATTTGCCCCGCCTCACAACTAAGTAAAAAAAAATGCAAGAAATATATATGTGATCGGTAAGGATATTTTATGAATGATATTTAATGAATATAATATATCAAAATATAATATAAAAGAAAAACTCACAAGAACAGTGTTCAGCATTTTATAATGCGACGCATTGTTACATATGCAAAAAATCATTCACAGCTAAAGATATACGCGTACGCGATCATTGTCATTTAACCGGACGGTATAGAGGCCCTAGACATTCCAATTGTAATTTAAATTATAAAGATTCTTACAGCATTCCTGTAGTTTTCCATAATTTGTCAGGTTATGACGCCCATTTTATAATTAGGGAAATAATCACCGCGTTTGAAGGCCCAGGTTCGAGTCTTGTAGCAGCTCGACAGTTTTTCTCTCGTGACGTCATCATACGCACTTAAGAACCTTCACTAGACGTTTACTAGCAACAGGCGACAGTGATCTAAGGAGGTTGGAGTGTTGGTTAGTAACCGCGAGGGCCTAGGTTCGAGTCTAGCAGCAGTCCGACAGTTTTTTCTCTGGACATATGCGTGACGTCACGGCCGACATCTTTGCCCATAGACGTAAAAAAAATTAATTAATAAAGAGTGCATTTTGCAAAAAATATTTTGCAATTGGATTAGAATCCCCTTTGCTTTACATTTACAAATCGTTCCATCGTCACGGAATCGCTATGTTGCCAAAAAGATGGGAAAAAGTTACAACTAACGACGGAAAATATTTTGGTTGATATAAATTTTACTATTTCTTTAAAATAAAGACAAAAATATTGACAAAATAATTAATTCAACCTCCTAATAATATAACATGAAACGTACGCGGATTCGAACACCTTTTCGCTGGAATCTATGATTTTCTGACCTTGCCAATTTTCAAAAAACGTATTGACAAGGAGCGCGCTCAAATAACTGGCGTACTTGAGAACGCGATTAATGTTTTCCGTATTTGTTATTACCTATGAACGAATGCAAATGTAACTATAAAGCGACAATCAAAGTTATAATTATCCCGTGAGCAATAATTTAGTGGTAATTTAGGAGTACCTGAAATCCTAATATACTCAAAATCGATATATTTGCTCCCACGTGTACAAAAAGAGGTATCCTATATATTGCCTCCATAATGGTAACGAATCTGATATAATACGTATGTATAAAAACATTGCTTTAATTACTATATTGATTTGTAACAATAACGAGTAAGGTTGAATTCTCACTGTTTATCTAGATAACGACAGATAAGAGTCTGTCAATTCTCTATCAAACTTGTTTTGAATAGAAACAATTGATATGTAACAATGGCGGATACTATGAATATTCTAAAACAAGAGCATCAAAGAATGTTTTCATGAACTTCTGTCTGTCGTCGTCGAAATAGATAGTGAGAATTCAGCTTAATTGTATAAACACATATACCGACTTAATGGCCTCCGCATGTCTTCGGATACTGTATAAGATGTTCGAGTGAATTTTATCCTGACCGGATACCAAAATTAAATCACCATTCTCGTTTTCAAGCTTGGTCGCATATTCTAAGCGATACCTAGAATATTTAATATTTATAGGAGATATTAAAAGAGATTCACACCGAGTATTTGAACTTACATAAAGATTTAGGTAAATATTGGTTTGGCCAATAAGTTCGTGCGGTTTTTTACTTATAAATGATCGATGATTATTTTTATAGAAGGTATTAACTTTAATCAATTATATATTGGGCGTTGTTATCTACTATCTTTTGTCATCTTTCGGGCAGCTTTATAATTCCTCGTTCAAAGAACGCAAAATATAGTAGATAACAACGCCCAATTTTGTCTTTCTGGGCAAAAAACTGTTCCAAGTATCGTTTATCAGCTTCCTCTCAAACGAAGTGCTTTCCATTCAAGGAATTTTGAAGGGAGCGAAACAGATGGTAATCTGAAGCTGCAATGTCTAGAGAATACAGAGGATGTGGTAAGACGTTCCAGTCTAGCACCAATAATTTTTGCCGGGTTTGTAGAGATGTGTGCGGCCTAGCGTTATCATGGTGAAAGACGACGCCTTTACGATTCACCAATTTTGGACGCTTCTCGTGGATCGCTGCATTCAATTTATCCAGCTGACTACAGTACATATCCGAGTTGATCGTTCTGTTCTTCGGAAGTAGCTCATAGAATACAACACCCTCCCAATCCCACCAATTGAGAGCACGATCTTGCTCGGGTGAAGCCCTGCCTTCGAAGTGGTTTGTGGCGGTTCGCTGCACTGCCCCCACGATCTTTTGCGCTTGATGTTATTATAGACGATCCATTATTCGTCGCCAGTTATTATACGCTTCAGAAATGGATCACATTTCCGAGTGAATCGATGATGGAAATGCGTTGGATTAAATGAGCTTCGCTCAGTTCGTGCGAAACATCGAGATGGCTAACATAATTAAGTTGATGCAGATGATTTTCCATGCTCGATTTCGATATTTGGAGAACGTCTGCAATCTCCCGCGTCGTGTAGTGTAGATTGGTGTCGATTACCGCCTTTAATTTGTCTCTGTCGTTCTCATTTGATCAGCCTAAGTGTGGTTTATCTTTGACGGAAAAATCTCCGCAACTTAATCTCGTAAACCACTTTTGGCACACGCGACATCCTCACTATATATTGCACAAATCTTTTTACAGGTTTGCGCCGCATTTTTGCCTTTTTTAAAATAAAAAGCATGCTGAAAATGCTTGTTCTGGTTATCCATTTTCAAATGACGCAAAACACACAAGATACACAAGCAATATTTACGTATATTTTTTAAATGCATGTTGAAATGTCATCTGTCAATGACTATACGCTTTCAAGACTTTCAACTGAAGATAAAGCTTAGCAAAGCACCTTGAAGTCATCTATCGAAAAAAACCGCACGGACTTATTGGCCAATCCAATATTAATATTATTGGCGACTTAACCAATTTCAATAACTTTGACATATGTTGTTAAGGACATGTCTCTGACTAATTTGCGAAAAGTTTTAGCCGTCGTTTATTGTTTATTAAAAAGTTATTAACAAAAGAAGTTTCATAATGTACGTTAACAACGTTAAACAGTATACAGGGTGGCTCACGTAAAGAATTACAAGTCCATAACTTTAGAAATATTTATCAAATCAAAAAATTGTTCATAAGGAAGTTCCATGTATTCGAGAGGCCTCTCTAACTACATAAACGTAAAGTCGCCCTCGCTTCCCCTTTAAGGGGACACGGGGGTAACTTCATAATTTTAAATGGAATCTCCTATAAAATGTTGCATATTTGGATTCTACGGGAAAAACAAGTAAATTTTATCTGAAATATTTGTTTGGAAAATGCTTCTATCAAAAGTTATAAGCATTTAAACCTTTAGCGAGTCCATTCATGATTGAACTCCATTGACACAAAGTTGCGTTTGCGATATAACAAAAACAAAAAAGACCTTAGAGTACATACTTGATGTTAACCAAAAGAAACATGAATAAACACATTTATCGGGAAACGTAAATACAAATCACAGACAAATACAGATCATCAGACATTTCGTTAGTTTTGAGCTGGTTTTCATGCTATCGAGTTCGAAAATCATGGCTCGTTTTGACGTGGAAGTTAATATGTTGCTAATTCTGGGAGAATGTGAGAAAAATTATCGACGTGTAGCGCAACTATTTTTAGAATGTTACGGTATTTAAAAATCGCATATAGCATTTCTTCGTTTAGAAAATCGTTTACGTGTACATGGTCAATTAAGTACAATTAAAAGACAAAAGCAAAACCAGTTGTTAATTATGATAACGCCGCTTCATTGAATACCCTTCTTACTAACTCGTACACTTGTTGGCTCTTTTCTTTAGACCGTTTTTTCTCGAAAATGAAAAGGTATTGCGTCGTATGCTATTACCATGAATTATTAATAGTCAAGTACTATTAACTCCGTAAGTTTCGTTCCAAACCGTTTTCCGGTCGATACGTTCTCCCCTTGTTAGCCCAATGAGACGAAATGTATATAAAAATATAGAGTGTATCTTTAAGATGCTTCTTTACCGAGCTCGATGTAATTATTTTTTGCTGAGTTATACAAATTTAAAGAAAAAATTGTTTTTTTAATTAAATTTGGAATAACTCAGCGAAAAATAATCGCAATGAGCTCTGTAAAGAAACATTTTAAAGAAAACACTCTATACTTTCATGTACATTTCGCCCCATTGGACTGCGATATTTGATTCACGCCATGCATCGTCGCAGATTCGGATCCTTGATTATCAATTTTGCATCCTCTCACTTTGTCATCCGCCATTTTGAAAAAAATAACCGAATATAATTGCCATTCAAATATTCTTAAAGTGGACATTTCAAACTTCATTTTACATTTTTGCATATATTTTTATTTTCATTATTTACCAAGTTATGATCATTTGAAATTTGGTAAATTTTCCCAAATTTTTAGTATACCGCTTTTTTTGAAACTGAGTACATGAACAGGGTGTCCAGTACTTAGCTGCTAACCCGAAATATGAAGGTAGATTAGGTTAAGACAAACATAAAAATCCCATACCGTTTTGCGAGATTCGCAATAATTATCGAGTTATTAATGACAGAAATCTGAGGATCGAGCACGCGCCAACATAGATGATTGGAGAAGCGTTGCAGCCGCTCAGGCTACAGCGTGGCCCAGTTGATGCAGAAACTGTTGCCGGTGTGCAGTGAAGGGAAAGACAATGCGCTGCTATTGGTATTTTATCTCGCCGCACACCGCCAATTGTTGCTAGGTTAACTAGGCCGCGCTGACTCGAGAGGCTGCGACGCTTTTCCAATCATCCATCTGAGCGCGCGCTCATTTATCAAATTTCTGTAATAACTCGATAATAGCGAATCTCGCAAAATGATATGGGATTTTTATACCTAATCTACCTTCACACTTTAGGCTGGCAGCTAATTACCAGACACCCTATATAATTCAATTTTCTAATATATCAAGGTCATTGAAATTGATAAGATTACCACTAATATTAATATTTACCGAGATTTATTAGACTGACCTTAAAGCTTGGAACAAACCACAGCAATGCTGGACAAGTGTCAAATACAACACGTCGAACGTGATCATTAAGAGCGTATAAAACACGACACACGTAGCGCTATGTATGAAAATCGGTACATAATACGTCTCTACGTCGACTATGTAATTGACATGATAAAACAGTCCTACTTGCGTTTCATGCGTGATACTTGACGAATTATTGTTGCTACTCCCCGTATCAAGAAGCTTAGTTAATAACGTCGCAAACACGAAAACGACGGTATGGCTGAATAAGATGCCTAATTTAGAAAACGTAATGATTTTCTCTAATATGAGAGTGAAAGAGGAAGAAAGAGAAAGAGAGTGAGAAAGGGAGGGAGCGGGAAGGAGGGGAGGACGGGGAGGAGGGGAGGGAGGGAAGAAGGAAGGAGGAGAGAGGGGGGAGATAAGGAAAGAGGATGAAAGCGCAGTAAATTAATGTTGCTTTCTCGATGAATAGACTTACCCATATATGCGTAACCTAAATTTCGGCCGTACAATGCGTACGAGTGCAGTATATTAGTCTCTTCGTTCGATTTCAGAGAAAGACAATAATCCTGCATCTTTGTTAGAAGTATCGTTATCTGCAGCACAAAGTCAACTTAAGTATGATCTAATATTGTTTTATTATTATTGTCTTAATCGTAACTGTTTCAACTGTTGAATATCGATTGAGGCAATGCTATTTTTCTCTCTCCAATTTTTTTTACTTCCTCTTTTTTTATTTACGTACCTCTGGTAATGTATATACCGCACAGACCAGTTTAATCATCGACACTGCACCGAGAACTAACAACGGCAAACAGTCGACCACTTCGTAAGAATCTGGCCAGACTTCTATCATACCTAACACCTGCGTTCGGCATAGACAATATTGTTCACGTGATGATTGAATCGCACGATTGGTTGAACCGTTCGATTTCGCGTTAATTTTATCCACTGCTACATCACATCGATCGATGAAAACCGTAACGCACCACAAAGTGCACGCAATTTTCAGATATATCGAACAATCGAGATACATTTATCGAGAGATTGACGTCTTTCAATCTCTAATTATACAGATTTGCTCTCTCCTTTTACTAAATTTGCAGTTAATCGAACGATAGAAACGGTATAGAGAAAGCTATAGAGAAAAAAGTGATTAAATTAACGATGAATAGACCAAAAGCGTTCTAATTGAGGGAAGCAGAATATCTAGTTCTTATAAGTCAAATTCGATCGTGAGAATCAGAGATTCTATTTTCTTGAACTGAAATGCAATTGGTTTCTTCATTGTCACGTTAATTCAATCAATCCTTCTTTTGTATATATACGAGGTCTGTCCCAAAAGTATCCGACCTCTGCGTATATCTTTGTCTTTGGGCATCCTATCGTGGAAAACAAGTATTCAGTATTTAAGGTGGACCTTTAGGAGTACCCCCACCAAGCGGCATGACCCAACAGCTGTTCAATTGGCAACGGTATGCAGTTGTGTGAGCGTCGAAAACTCCGGGCGTTGCATTTCACAATGACTACATGAAACGCACCTGCTCATTCACCTGATTCAGAAGTTTCTGACTAAACGCGCCATTGTCCAACTTCGTCAACCACCGTACAGTCCAGATATAGCCCCGTGTGACTTTTGATTATTTTTTAAGTTGAAACATCCGTTGAAGGGCAAAGGATTTGACGATATTGAGGAAATAAAGCGAAATGCGATGAGGGAGCTATTTGTTGGCTATCAGAAGAAACGACTTCTAGGACTGCCTTCGCAAGTGGGTGACCGCACCGTTGGCAGAAAGTCATTGCTTCGGAAGGAAACTACTTTGAAGGCGACGTTGTTCATATCACTCCGAAATAATTCATTTTCATGATACAGGCAAAGGTCGGATACTTTTGGGACAGACCTTGTACATATTCGGTGATTCGCGGTATTCACAGACTTTTTTACCTCGAACGTCAAACCAGATCCGAACACAAGTAGGAAACCAAAATATATCGCACGACGTTTACTAGTTGTGTGATAAGGCCATAGGCCACTGATGCTTAACAGAACGCGAATAATATTATAGTGCGATTGTTGAAAGAATAAGTCGACGCTGTTCATCTTGCTCTTTTTGTTTCAGTTATTTTACTACTTTGCGAGAACAAAATGCAATCGCCTCAGGATATAAATCGCATTTAGCCTCTTATTGAGAATTCCGTTTAACAGCGATTACTATATGCCGCAAAGAGCGTGTCACCGAGATGTTTATAGCGCAAAGTCAATGCAAGGAGGAATCGTTTCGCGATCGATCGTAAAATTACAAGATACCCCAGTATAAATTACACTATAGGTGAAGATATTATCCACATTATCTTATCGGTTAGGACATGTTAGTCGATTCAACAGAGACGACGGGTCATTTAACTTGCTAGCAAGAATATATTTATTCTAAAAATATATACACAGTCCGATAAGAGTTCTTATAATTTTCATCATCTTAAATACATAAAATAGTGGTAATATAGAAACGATAAAGAAATATGGGTATTTTTGCATAAAAGGGACCCTCTCCCCGATTTAATTTATTTTTAAATATGGTGTTAGGGGAGCTTTCTGAGTCGTTTCATATATAAGGGTCGGACACAAATAGCTTCGGAGATACAGATTGAGAAATGATAGAAATTCGTGTAGTTTCATTATTCTTCATGTTCCCAAAACTATACGATGAGACGGTCTCTAAGTGAATGCTGAATGTTCTTCGTCGAAAATATATGAAGAAATTCAAACATAAACAAACCAGTAGAGTCATTTTGAAAATATAAACAAACAGGCGCCCTCACCTGTACCCCCCTTGACAGATGAAATTTGCTTCATATGGAAAGTCGTATTGTCAGTTCTGTGTCACATGAGTTTGCGATTTTCCACGTGACGCAAATTTGATCAGACGAAGGGGGTCGAAGGCCCCTTTGCACCCCCCCCCTTCGGTGTGTGTGTGTATGCTTCGGTGATTCATTACTTTAAATGAATTTTCATATTTACTACTTTCATCGTTTCTCAGCTTGTATCTCCGAAGCTATTTGCATCCGACCCTTATATATGTATATGAAACGACTCAGAAAGACTCCCCCAACAACATATTTAAAAATAAATTAAATCGGGGAGGCCTCTTTTATACATAAATACCAAAATATGTTATCGGTTTTCTTCGGTCATCCATTTACTTATTACTTGCAACGAACATTCTCAAAGCTCATTCATATTAATTCCAAATATATGTTACGTCCGGAAAATTCGCAATTAAAAATCTAATCATAATAGTATAATTAAAAGTGTTCGATGAACTTCAGTCTGAGTTAGGAAAATACTGATACTGTAATCCTGTGCGATTAAAAACCTAATCATAGTAATATTTGATGAACTTCAATCCGAGTTAATCCCGTGCGATTAAAAACCTAAGCACAATAATATGATTAAAAGTATACGGTGAACTTCGGTCGGAGTCAGAAAAAAACCTGCATTAAAATATGTTACGTACTAGGGCGCGATAATTTTCGAATCTCTGAAGATTTCGATACTCCAAAAATTGCTTAACAAAAATAAAGTCCTCGAATTGACTCAGATTTTGTTTTTCACTTAGTGCTTAATCCGTGATAACATCGCAAACACATTTCTTAATCATAACCCAACCCAACTGTACCCCAATTTGTTGCTAGGCAACCTAGGTATAAATACCGAGTTTTCCTGCCAAGAGATCTTTTTTTCGTCGCGATCGTAGTTGCAGTCGGATTCTCTTGTTGCAGTCGAAGTAGCGGTCATTTTTACGGTTGTTATACCGAATGTCCTAATTATCACATTTTTTTGGTCCGGGAGTACTACAATTCTTTTTTCTATCCGAATAGTTGCCACATTTTTCTGTCCGAAGCAGCTGTTAAAATTTTCTGTCCGATAATTTTCTGTCGAGTTTTCTGTGAATTTTCTGTCGGGAGGTTTCCAGATAGTTTGAGATGAGTTGTCCCTTGTCAACTAACCATGTGTTTCACGGTTTATCATCTCTTTTTTGAAGCGGTACTGTCTCCAAATCGGTAAGTCATTTCTTTCCTTTTTTAATTATATAAATGTAATTTCGATTTGTTGCCATCAGGATGGAATCTTTACTTTTCTCTGACCTTCTCCCCCACCGAACCTTCTATTTTTCACTTTGCGCCACACATTTCACGACACTTTACATACACAATCGGCCGTTTATTTGTGATCATGCGTAATTTTAAACTAATCTCGCGAAGTAATTGTACGCAACTGTCCTCCGGCAAAAATTGTTAAAGTTCTTAAATATTGTTTCCAAATTAACCATTAATAAAATATATTTCGATTTATACTCGTTAATTTATACTATAATTTATACTCGTTAATTTATGATTTAAATCACATTAACTTCTTCCGAATCATCTCTGATTCCTATTATTAACACGCGGTCCAATTCTAGGTAAAGAGATTGAGTTCTCTGATCTAAAAGTGGACCACCTGCCGTACGTCGCGGGTAAAGTAAATGGACCCTTCTGGTCTTTGACTTACATCGTGCATATACAGGGTGGGGAGTTATAAGTTTATAATCCGAAATGTGAAGGTAGATTGGGTTAAGATAAACATAAAAGTCCCATACCGTTTACCGCGCACCGGCAACAGTTGCTGGATCAACTGGGCCGCGCTGCGGCCTCAGCAGCTGCAACGCTTCTCCAATCATCTATGCCGGTTTCTCCAATCATCTATCCCACTCCTCAGATTTCTGTCATTAATAACTCGATAATTATTGCGAATCTCGCAAAACGGTCGACGATTCAGCGGGCTGTTTGGAGCTGTTTCAGCGCAATAAAAAGGATTTGTTGATGCGGTATGTGACAATGGATGAAACATGAATCCATCACTACACTCCAGAGTTAAATCGGCAGAGAAAGCTTCAGGGATCCAAGAGATTTGGCTCTAATGAAGAAGTGATTGCCGAAACTGAAGCCTTGCTAAAACGAGTCGACGTCGTGCGTCACTAAAACCACTGTAACTTGTGAACTAAACGTCCGATTGTCATGAAATTTTGACACGTATCATTTGAAGGTTAGTACTTCCTAAAAATCATGTGGATTTGTCAATAGTAGCGCCATTTATATGCCATCCTACGAACTTATTGAGTGATGTGTTACATAATAATGCTAGAATTGGAACACTTTTATAATTTGTTGTACTTTTCTATTGTATACTTGATTTATGAAATTCTTAACAAAACTACGTCAAACTACAAAAAATACTGATATTCTACAAATTTCTATGTCCATAAAAATACAGTATACTACAATGAAATGCTGGAATTAGAATTTTGTAGATTTTCGTAGTTTTCGGTCGAAACTTATAATTACATTGCTACGACTTGACTTATAAATTACAGGGCAAAATTACGTCAAATTACTATTATTAGCGATGTTCTACGTATTTTTACGTCGAAATAAGTGTTGTATAAATAAGGAAATGTTACAATGGAAACAGTTATGTAAATTTTTTTATGTTTTGTGAAAACACGTTGTTTATATTGTATTTCCAACAATATGTACTTGAATATATGTTTCCACAAAAATTGTTACAATGCAGTATACTACTTTTTGTGTACAACAATCCATGTTCACGAAAAATAGTATATTGTACTGTGAAGATTTCGGTAAAAACATTAATTGATTTACATATTGTTACAAATAATTATATCTTCAATTACCCTTTTCCACCCTAAACCAAAAAAAATTAAAAACTGAGAAAACAATTATTTTTAGTTAAATATATAACTTTGTACACAAATCTACCAACATTTATTCAATATTAATAACTTCTTCAATTAAATGAATAACATTAATAATAAATAATTTTTAATAAATTTGTGTACAAATTTGTACTATTTTAGTGAAAAGTATAAATTTTAATTAGCAGTAATTGTAATACATTGTACAGCCGTAAAAATAAATCGATATTTGCAATTATATGTAAAAAATTGTATTTTATGGAAAACTAAAAACTGCATTGGATTTAAAATTACATAGTTTTACGATATGAAAATTCTTGTAGATGTGCATAGATATTTCTAAATATTTATAATATTCTACAAAAAGTAAGTATTTTTATTTCTTTCACAGAACTTTGTTGTCTTTCAATTTTTTAAATTTGTAGGTTTTTGTAATTGCTTCTATAAAAATTGTAATTGCTTCTATAAAAATTCTATAAAAAATTGTAGATTTTTACAAAATATTACTTGCAATGATTTCTAGGTTATAGAATATTGTAATTTGTGGTATTATTTTGTACAAAATTCTACAAAAAAATAAATTTCTCTACAAATATTTATATCTGTATACAAATTTCTACAGATTTCTATTTTTAATAAATTTGTAGTTTTTTGTTAAAGTTTTTTCCGCCAGGGTCGTAGTCACCTGTCCTCGAAGGGGCCGGACCTCCACGACCGGCAATATGGGTTCAGGCTCGGACGATCCACGTTGGATGCTATTCAGTGGGTCCGGGACCTGATCCGGACGATGGAGAGGAAGGGCGGGATGTTGTTGGCGGTGTCTCTCGACATCACCAACACCTTCAACACCCTGCCCTGGCTGGAGATTGGGTGGGCCCTCGTGTATCACGGGGTGCCCGCCTATCTCCGGCGGATCCTGTCCGACTACTTCGGGAGCAGGGACCTCGCCTTCACCAAAGAGGGCGGGGTCCAGGGCTGGCGCACTATGGAACGCGGTGTCCCGCAGGGGTCGGTTCTCGGCCCTCTGCTATGGGACATCGCGTTCGACCGGATGCTTCGCACTCCACTCCCCGACGGCTGCCACGTCGTCTGCTATGCAAACGACACTTTAGTGGTGGCCGGAGGGGAGAGCTGGGGGGAAGCCCGCCTCCGAGCGGAGGCGGCAGTGGCATTGGTGGTGGGAACCATCGGGGACTTGGATCTCAAGGTGGCGCCCCTCAAGATTGAAGCCGTGTACTTTCACGACGGCAGTTGGGGGGCGCCGCCGGAGACCCGGGTCCTGGTCGATAGCGTCCACGTCCGCGTCGGGCCGACGATCAAATATCTCGGCCTGACGTTGGACAGCCGATGGGGATTCGGGCCATATTTCAGGCAACTGGCCCCCAGGGTGCGCAAGGCATCGAGGGGGGGGGCTTTTTCGGGTCCGGATGGGGATGATGATCATCATCCGTTTGACCCGGGGGGCGGGGGTAGGCAGGGAGAGGTGCGGCTCTCTCACCTGAGTCTGGCGTAGCGGCGCGTATGTGTGGCGGGGGGTCCGGATGGCTAAGT